CCATGAAGTGATGGGACCGGATGCCATGATCTTCGTTTTATGAATGTTGAGCTTTAAGCCAGCTTTTTCACTCTCCTCTTTCACTTTCATCAAGAGGCTCTTTAGTTTTTCTTCGCTTTCTGCCATAATGGTGGTGTCATTTGCGTATCTGAGGTTATTGATATTTCTCGCAGCAATTTTGATTCCAGCTTGTGTTTCATCCAGCCCAGCATTTCGCATGAAAGTGAAAGGAAAGTGAAGTCACTCAGTTGTGTCTGACTCTGCGAGTCCATGAACTATAGCCTGCCAGGCTCCTCCATCCATGGAATTTTCCAGGCAAGGATACTGGAGTGGGTTGCCATTTCCTTCTCTAGGGAAGTTAAATAAGCAGCGTAACAATACACAGCCTTGATGTACTCCTTTCCTATTTGGAACCAGTTCATTTTCCTATGTCCAGGTCTAACTGTTATTTCTTGACCTGCATGCAGATTTCTCAGGAGGCAGGTAAGGTGGTGTGGTATTGCCATCTCTTTAAGAATTTTCCACAGTTTGTTGTGATCCACACAGTCAAAGGCTTTGGCATAGTTAATAAAGCAGAAGTAGATGTTTTTCTGGAACTCTCTTGCTTTTTCTATGATCCAATGGATGTTGGCAATTTGATCTCTGGCTCCTAAGAAAACTGACATATTAATTAATTTAGTAAATATTTCAGTTGAGTGGTGATTGTCAAATGATTATAATATGGTAACTTCCTTTATGAAATTTGCATTAATTTAAGTGCAGCCCATTCCAGTATTCTTGCCTGGAGAATCCCATGGACAGAGAAGCCTGGTGGGCTACAGTCTATGGGGTCACAAAGAGTCAGACAGACTGAAGCAATTTAGCATGAACACACAAATTTAAAAAATCATACCTTTAAAAATCCTAACTGAGATGAAAAGACAAGAGTTACAGGCAATAGTTGCAGGGAAGATTTGTCTTTTTATTTTAATAAGAGCTAATGCAAGTCAAAACCACAATGAGAAATCACCTCTCACCTCTTAGAATGGTTATTATAAAAAAGACAATAAATAACAAATGTTAGTGAGGTAGGGATGTTGGTAGAAATTTAAATTGGTGTAACCACTATGGAAAACAGTGGGTTCCTCAAAAATTTTTAAATTGAACTAGCCTATGACCTGGTCCAGGTGGCACTAGTGGTAAGGAACCTGCCTGCCAATGCAGGAGACGTAAATCTCAGGTTTGATCCCTGGGTGGGGAAGATTCCCTGGAGAAGGAAATGACAACCCACTCCAGTATGCTTGCCTGGAGAATCCCCATGGACAGAGGAGCCTGGTGGGCTATGGTTCATAAGGTGGCAAAGAGTTGGACATGACTGAAGTGATTTAGCATGCACGCATGACCTGGGAACTCTACTTCTGGGTACTTATATGAAGAAAACAAAAATACTAATTCAGAAAGATATATGTATCTCTGTGATCACTGCGGCATTATTCGTAATAGCCAAAATATGGACACAACCCAAGTTCCCATCAATAGATGAGTGGATAAAAAGTTGTGATACACACACACACACGTATATGTGTATATATGATGGAATATTATTCAACCATAAAAAATGAAACCTTGCCATTTGCAACAACATAGATGGACCCAGAAGGTATTAGCTTATGTGAAATAAGTCAGACAGAGAAAGACAACCACTGTATGATTTCACTTATATGGAATCTAAAAAAACAGAACAAATGAGCAAACCTAACAAAACACAGAACCGCAAATACAGAGAACAAACAAGTGGTTGCTAGAAGGCAGGAGGGATACAAGGATGAGAGAAATATGTGAGTGAGATTATGAGGTACAAACTTCCAGTCACAAAATGAATGAGTCACAGGTATTAAATGTACAGTGTGGGGAATATAGTCAATAATACTATCATGCCTTTATATGGTGATGGATTGGTAATCAGACTTATCGTAGTGATCATTTTGAAATGCATAGAAATATTGAATCACTATGTTGTACATAAGGAACTAACATAGTGTTGTAGGTCAATGATACTTCAAAAACAAATAAACAAACACAGAAAAAGAGACCAGATTTGTGGTTACTAGAGGCTGGGGTAGAGTGAGGGGGAATTGGACAAAGTTGGTCAAAGGTACAAAACTTCCAGTTATAAATATATATAATATTTATATTCTATAAATATATAAGGGATATAATGTACAACATGATAGATATAATTAACACTGCTGTATGTTATCTATGAAAGCTGTTAAGAGAGTAAATCCTAAGAGTTCTCCTAACAAGGAAAATTTTTTTCTATTTCTTTAATTTTGTGTCTATATGAGATTATCAGTGTTCACTAAACTTCTTATGGAAATCATTTCATGATGTAAATTAAATAATTATGCTCTACACCTTAAAATTGTCAATTATATCTCAATAAAACTGTAAGAAGAATAAAATTAATATGATCTGAGCATATTTATATGCTTCAAGGGAGAGAGAAGAGTTGAAGAGACTGACAGAGACTAACTTGATAGAACTAATTTCCAAAAGAGAAAGGAGGCAGTGGGAACTAAAACACAGCTAGAGGGATTTGCTTTTGATGTCCTCTAATGACATGATAATAATGACAATAATGCTTACTATTTGCCAGGCATTGTTCCAATCACTTCAGATGTATTAACTGAATTAGGACTGGATGGCAATAATGAACTTGGAAACAAAGAGTTGAAAGAATGTATATGTGAAAATCAAAATCATCTCTGTAAATATGAAAATAAAATTATGTACTGATAATATGTCTGTTTCTGCTGAAACAGAAAGATGGTGTAGGCAGCCTAAAAAGAGGTGGTTTGAGGACTAGGAGAGGGAGTTGACCAGAAACATATAAAAATACTTCTGAACAGTAATTGCAATGATTGTGTCATTTTTTCCAGCAGTGCTCAGATACACTGGTGTCAGAGCTCAGAGATTATATCAACTCCGGGTTGGATGTCTACAAACAGAGTAAGATTGAAAGACAAGAGTTCAGGAAGTTGACAGCACTGGCAGAGGGTAAAGTGATGGTCTGGGTTAGGTTAGACACAAAATGAACTGAAGCCAGGATGGGGATAATTTTGTAATAGAAAAAAAGGAAGTTAAAAGGTAGTGCTAGAACGATTACAAATATAAGAGTCCATTGAGTCTCTTTGCCTCTCTTTTCTGAGAAGATAATCAAGACAGCAGGTTGCCACAACTCATGTAAGCCATCACAATAGTAAGCTCTGTCATCCTCAGGTTCAGGGTTTTCTCTGCAGAGCCGAGTTCTCAGGAAGGATAAATTCTGGCTACTCAAAGTGTAGTCTGCTGACCAGCATCACTGGCATCACCCAGGAGATTGTTAGAAATGCAGACTCTTGGGTTCTACTCCAGAACTGAGTCAGTGTCTGCTTTGTAGTTATTTATTTATTGACTTTTGGCAGTGCTGGCTCCTGGTTGCTGCGGGGGCTTTTTCTCCAGTTACGGTGCGCGCAGGCTTCTCATTGTGGTGGCTGCTCTTGTCGCGGAGCACGGGCTCCAGGGCACACAGACGTCAGCGTGCGTGGGCTCAGTGGTTGTGGTTCCCAAGCTGTAAAGCACAGGTTCAGCAGCAGTAGTGGCTTAGTTGGTCCGCAGCACGTCAGATCTTCCTGGACCGGGGCTAGAATCTGTGTCTCCTACCTTGGTAGGCAGATTCCTTACCAGTGAGCCATAAGGGAAGCTCAGAATCTGCTTTATCATCTCCAAGTAACTCATATGTACATTAAGTTTGAGGCACTGGGATAAACAGATGTGAGTGCAACTTCACCCTTGGTTTATTTGGGCTGATCATGATATGCTAGGGGAAACGAGGAGCAGATATCTTGCCTGTGATGTTCGCAAGATCCCAGGCTATTGAGCACTCCATTTTTAATGTATAATTTAAATCCTTTCCCAAATGACTCCTTATACCCCACACCAATTCCTAATTCCACTCCAGACACAGGTGCTCTGAACATGTGAATATCACGGTATCATATGAGATAAACTATAAGCTTCCTTTTAGTTTTAACATTATTTTAGGTATCATAGCCACACTTCATCTGCACAGACAATCAGCCCAAGTGAAATGAAATTCAGTCAGTACCAAAAATAATTATAAGAATAATTTTGTAGTTAGCCACACACACCACACCTATCTGCTCTTGGGTCAGCTTTAGAGGGTGCTCCTCTAACTCCTAACAATTTCAGTGTTTTGAAGCTGCTATACGTGATTATGAATGGTTTCTGAGCTACTTTTTTATCCCCTTTTTGTGCAAAACCAAACTGAACTTCATTTAAATGAATTAAGTCACTCGAGGGAATCTGAGTGGAAGCTTGAGGGAATTTGTCTCCATATGTTAATGTGAAATTAATTTCCAAAGAGGTGGAGGTTCTGAGGAGTAAGGCAAGTTGGCGACAAATTGATCACACAGATACCTATCGGTTGCATCAGTGTTAACGGAAAAATTTGGTAGCATTGTTTAAAGACCAACGATGCTTTTTGATTCAGGCTTTTATCTTATACCAAGATTAGAATCTCGTCGACCTGCTGGTGGCTTTTCATGAGCCCGTGCTTTTAAGCACTGTAGCCTACTGGGCCGATGTCGGCGGCCAAGGATGGGGAGAAAAAGCCGTTTGATCTCTGTTTAAGCTAACCGGTCCAGAGAGCTGTGGATGGACTCCACCACCGCTGGGAGAACCAAAACTGCGGAGGCCTGAGGCGTTTCAAAATTGAACGGTTAGGGTTTTTAAGCTGCACAGGGAGAGATGTTCGCGACGTGACAGCTGGTGGTCCCCGGGCTCTGATGTCTCCCCTCCCCACGCCTGGTCGCCTCACCATCCTTAATCGCCCCTCTCTCTCCAGGTTAGCCCACCAGACGCCCACTCCCAGTCCTTCCCTCTCCTCGGCTCCAGGTCTCCCGCGCCCTCCCGTGCCTCTCTCGTCCCCCCTTTACCGCTCTTGTCGCCTCACCATCCTTAATCGCCCCTCTCTCTCCAGGTTAGCCCACCAGACGCCCACTCCCAGTCCTTCCCTCTCCTCGGCTCCAGGTCTCCCGCGCCCTCCCGTGCCTCTCTCGTCCCCCCTTTACCGCTCTTCTCCCCCCCCNCTTTCCCCAAATCCCTCCTCCCAGCCTTCCTCCCCTAACAGGTGCTCCAGCCCTCATCTGCTTCCCACACGCCGAAATTCTTCCCTTCCCGCCCAGGAGTTTGCGTGTCAGCTCTTGCTTTTTAGAAGGGAACCAAGCTTCTACGGAGCATATGTTGCGTAGATAGTTCCCAGGGCTGCTTTAGAGACTCCAGGGATTTACGTCGATGTGAAAGGCTGACCTGATGAGTAAATAAATGAGGAACTAACGCAGTTCTCTCTTGGGAAGGTTTTGCGGAGCCCCCTAGTCTTGCACCCAGTATAGAGGCGAGTCGCCCCTGACCAGTTGAATGTAAAATCTGTTTCCGGGTGGTGTTTTTGTTTTCTCACTGTGTTTGCAATTTAAAAAACACCCGGACCTTCTTTCTGTCTCTCCGCCCCCACCTTTCTTTCCTCTTTCGACATTTTCAATCACAATTGCTTTATCGGTTCAGCATGGTAGACTCTAGAATTTCATTCATGACCAGCTGTAAAAAGAGTGAGAAATTACACAGGCATCCAAAGAAATTTCACCGGAATGATTCTTTCCTTTCTAAATGCATCTCCTCATTATGGAATATGTATTGTAATGATAACTCCCTGCCATAAAAAGTAAGTGTACTATAATACATACTGGTAAAATGCATTTAAAACCATAGAAAATTTATTCTTTGAGGTGAGGAATGCAGATCCTGGTTGTTTCCGTGGACAGGTCATTATGGAGAAATATTATTTATTATTTGATCACCCTGCTATTATTTAGATCTTAAAACTACTTAAGGTTTAAATTGCTGAAGAACATTCTTTCCCATGGGCAGAATTCAAATTTAGATTTCATTTGTTTTGAGATCTTTACCTTCGATGGAATTTAGATTTGATTTGTTTTGAGATATTTACCTTGGATCAGTGCTTATATGGAAATGGAAGCTTTTGATACCAGGTGCTATTGAAGGAACAGATTTTAGCATATTACAGTGGTCTTTTAATTTCTAAATGAATATGGTGGTTTATGTTTATCAGAGGCTACATATAGTTAAATATGTGAGCTTTTAGTTTAGATTTTTTTAAAAAACTGAAAATAGAGCCTTTATAAATCTTTTATTTTTCTTTGGTTTAATTAGAAAACTCCCAGTAGATTCAAGTAGGTCGTTTTAGTTTTGTACTGCATTGAAGAGTTGGGTTAAAATGGAAACAATACAATACGAATTCCCATTTATTTTTGGATTATCCACAGTTATTGAAGCTATCTTAATATTTCAAGTAGTAGAAATCAGTGTTGGGAACAAAGCAGCATAATATTGACTGGAAAGACACAGAAAATTAGTGCAGCTAATGCAAAAGAGCTGTTGGGGTTTTTTTGTTGTTGTTGAATAGTCTTATTTATTTTTGCTGTTTTGAGGTTTTATTTATTTATTTTTGAGGTTTTATACTTATGTTAATAATATGATAGTACTGTAATATTAGAGTGGCAGGGGTTTTGATACACATTTTCAGTAAATTTTTATCTTTATGGTGTAAAAAGTGTTTATTCACTACAGTATTTGTGTTTGACTCTTCATTTTATCGTGCACGCTAGGTTGCAGAAGCTGCCGACAGAAATGAGTCATTTTGAGTATGATAGGTGAGATTTCTGGATAACTGGGCACTTTTTTATTAAGAACCAATTATTTGTTTAAAGTGTTCTAAACACATTTTTATATTGCTTTTAGTTATATTTTATAGTAAGCTCTAGTTGTTCACACATTGGTATCAGCGTATGGAATGTCCTAGTTACTGGATTTGTTTTTTTTTTCTCTTTCTTGATGCTTTTCTTCTTTTTTCACTTCTCATTTACATATTCTTTAGCAGAATTTTAGAGGCATTTAAAATGTTGGTTGAAACATGCTCAGTTTGATTTTCCATTTTAAAAGTAAAATGTGGGATAGGAATTTGAAACTCTAAAAATTGTTTTGAATTTAAATTTTTATTATTATCTCTTAATCTTCTACCTTTGGTTTTCCTAGATTCACTTTTTCAGAGTTAGTTGAACATTTCACAAACCTACCAGGCAAAATACACATTGTCCTTGAAAGCTTTTTGCCTTATATTTTAGCCAAATTGTAGAATTTGGGACGAAAACAACTGTTGTGTTTTTTCATACAATAATTTATTTGCCTCTAGATATGTGACCTGCTCTCTGAAAGGAAATGCTGATATTGGGAAATGCAAATCACTTATCTTATTATTAAGTGTGCTGTTTATTTAGTATGTCATTTAATGACTTCCCTGTGTAAATAAATTTTAGATACGGGATTTGGGTGAGGAGGAATTAGAGGTAAATCAGACATTGTGCCTTTAAATTTGTCTTTAAAATATAACGAAGGAGACAGGAATGAAATGAATAAGCAAAATATAATGTATTGAAATTTATAATTCATTGTAAGAGTGTGTACAAGGCTCCTCACAGAAGAGAGCTGCCATGTTCATCTTGGGTAGTCAACAGGTATAGAGAAGAGGCTGTGTACTGGGCAATGTAGGATATGTATGTGGGTCACACAGTGCAGAAACAAGACAATTGCAGGAATAAAGAACATTTGTGAAGGTAGGATGGCACCAGAATATATTCCATAAGTAGTATTTGTGGTATGTTATCATTTTAATGAAAAGGAGAAAATAACCTAAGACACATTTGCTTATATTTGTGTATATTGTATATGTAAACTACTTCTGGAAGCACAAACTGCTAACACTGGTTGCCTTCTGATTGGTAATTGGATAACTAATGAACCTAGGGGTAGTAGAGCTTTTTTAGTATATATCCTGTTGAATCTTGAATTTTGGAACATATTAAAACATTTAAAATATGGCATGTATAAATTATAAGGAAGTAGGTAAGAATAATTAGAACCAGGTTTTAAAGGACCCATCAAGTGTTTATTGTCTGTGTGTGTAGTGAGGAGACACATAAGGTGTATGTTTTAACAAGGTTATTTCTTGACAGCAGTATGGACTGTGGATTGTTAGCCTTTTGTGGGGGAGAGTTCTCATTTAAAATAATCAATTTAAAATATATTGGAGTCCTGTTGCTATGAATGTTTTCTTTTTTTAAACTCCTTGAGCACCTTCTGTGTTTTAATCATCATCCTTTCTGTATACCTATATCTTTTCTGTCCTCAGTCTAGGCAATACCCTTCCTGTCTTTTCCTGCCACTTACTCCCAACTTGAGTTTTGTTGGAAATGCAGTTTTGGCTTTGCCTATGATTCCCACTTTATGTTTCTGTTCTGTGTCTTTTTTTCCATCTTTATGCTTTTTTCTACTTCATATTATATGCAGTCCTATTTTTAAATGTACATTGTCTCACTATAAAATTGCTTTTATAATAGTAGATTATGAAATTTATCAAATAATATTCTTTTGCTTATTTTTCTGTCTCCAGGGAATTAAATACTTTTTTGGATATATTTGATAGTTCCTATCCTTCTTAGTTAGTTTTCAGCTCGTTCAAAACTCTGTTTAGTCAGCATCCTAAAAAGAACCTACTGTGTGTGTGCTACTATCTCAAATAGTGTGCTAAATTACAAGGAGTTAAGATAACTGTTCCCCTGTTCTCTCATTTTTTTTTTGCATAATTTACACCTAAAGAACAAAATATTACATCATTTTTATTTTTGATTATTTACTGTATATAATTAATATTGGAACTAATTTGAGTTGAGGTACATAAACACATCTTAAAGCAAATTGGTATCTCTGTATTTTGAATATTTGAGGAGATAAAGTTGCTAGTAACTTACACAAGAAGCTCACAGTCTCTGAAGTTGTTTTCATGGTGTTATTGGCACAGATTGTTTATGGTACTATCCTCAAATATTCAGGAATTTGCATAAATGATCAGAATTATTCTTTTTAGAACAGTGATTTTTTTCAGTAGTCATTACCCATTTGCAATTTTCAAAATTCACTCAGTAGTTAAAATTTTTACCAAGCGCATGCATATTACTAGTTTAGTTTAGTCACTCAGTCGTGTCTGACTCTTTGCAACCCCATGGACTGTAGCCTACCAGGCTCCTCCGTCCATGGGATTTTCCAGGCAAGAGTATTGGAGTGGGTTACCATTTCCTTCTCCAGGGGATCTATTACTGCTAGATCATTAAATCTCTTGATGTCAATTTAAATAATATCTACTGTTCAGTGTAACTGGTTTCATTTTTATGGCCTCTCAGTTAGTCTCAGTGTTGGCTGCTCAGTCGTGTCCAGCTCTTTGTGATCCCATGGACTGTAGCCCTCCAGGCTCCTCTGTCCATGGAGTTCTCCAGGCAAGAATACTGGAGTGGGTTGCCATTCTTTTCTCCAGGGGATCTTCCCAAACCCGGGATCTAAGCCAGGTCTCCTGCATTGCAGGCAGATTCTTTACTGTCTGAGCCTCCAGGGAAGCCCTTAATGGTCTCTATCCCTGAGGGGTAAAAAAAAAAAAAAAAAAAAAAGGAGCCAAAGAAGAGCTTATGCTTTACTACTAATTTTATAGATGCCTACCTTTTCGGGATGACATTAAGACTTCATTTATATTTTGTTGAAAGAAATGTCAATTACTGGCTCATTTGGAAAATAATAATATGAATTGCAGAGTAGTTTTAGGCTTGCTGACAAATCATGCACCAGGTCATGAAAACTGAAACAGATGCTAATTCATTGGAATCTTTGTGGTGAGAAGACTGTCCATGTCTTGACCAAGTCATGGCTGTAAGATTCGATTAATTTGTTAGCATATTGTAGGTCAAGCATATTAAGTTGAGAGGTAGGAAAGTTGCATTATAAAACAAAGTTACTTTCCTTTGAATGATGCAACAGCTTGGAGTATGTAATAGGGCCTGAGTAAAAGGAGAGAGACATTACAAAACAGTTTAAAATAGCAAAAAAGAATTCATTTAATAATGAAAAGCTTTTATCATTTCTAAGTATAATTAATAACTGATAATAAATGCATTTTCCATTATGTTAACATAGAGCATGCTGACATAAACCAGTATTTTTCACTTGTCAGTAGCTATTTTGAGTAATTTCTATTTATTAGAATTTTAAGTAGTCTCATTTTATGTTTTCTTGAAGGCTTCATGGTTTAAAACTCACATAATTCAAGACAGATGCTTCATATGTGTACACTAAAAGTAGAACTTTGTTCTTCATTAAGTGTAGTTTTTATCATCAGTAACGTTTTTATATTGTACTAAATCAAATTTGTATAATTCAGAATTGGGTATGGTGAGACTGAATTGTATTACTAAAACAGATTAAAATGAAATTACTTTCTCTTTCCTGTAGAAAATTGAACTTCCAAAGAAACTGGCAAAACGCTATCCTGCTTATGAATTATATCTTTATGGAGAGGGGTCCTATGCTGAAGAGCACAAAGTTCTCCCTTTAACGGGTATTCCTGTTCTCTTTCTTCCTGGTAATGCTGGAAGTTATAAGCAAGGTAAGTCTCAAAAATAATTTTGAAAGCTGTGAATTCAGTTAAAGAATTAATTCAGACACATACTCTGCATTAACTACTTCACTATGCATACTGGGAGACGCAAATATACGACATTTTGTCTGAGAGAAGTATGTGACAAGTATATAAAAAAAAGTTGAAAGCCACTTTGCAGAGAATAAATAGGAGAAGATAAGATGATGATAAATAGATGATATAGGGATTTGGGAATCAGTAGAGGTAAGAGGTTTATGTTAGAAATTGAGGGTACACAAAACAGAACCTAAAGCATTGACTAGAGAAGTAAATTGGTGGTTTAAGTTATGTTGAGAAAGAGAGGAGATTGATTTTTTTCTTTTGGAGCTATTTAAATTAGATCTGGAAATATGGAGGCAAACACAGAAAGGTAGGGTTGGGGGGAAGATCTGTGTACATATTCCAAATTAAAATATAGCAGTTATTCCTAGTGTAACAGTCAAGCAATGTAGAAGTAATTTCAGCTAAAATCCCCTTCTTATTGTTATTAAATGACATGTTCTTTTCTATAATAAGAATAGAATTATTTCAACCTTTAGTATAACTCCAGGAGATAGTGAAGGACAGGGAAGCCTGCTGTGCTGTGGTCCATGGGGTCGCAAAGAGCTGGACACGACTTAGTGACCGAACAACAACAAAGTATAATTACTTACATGTTTATCTATTTAGCTAGTATTTATGGGGCACCTACCATGAGCCAGGCAGTGTTTTAGATATTAGGCAGTATTCTAGATATTAGTATGCCAGTAATGTTAAAAGCTAGAAATATAAACGAGTAAGGGATAAAGGACAGACAAGGTCAAGAGGAGACTCGATGAAGTGGCCAGTATGCGGAGATGACATTTTGAGCAGAGGCTTGAGTGTGGCAGGGGACTGAGGTATGGTGCTGTTGCAGGGAAGACATGGAAGCAGGAACGTGTTCGGTGCATTCAAAGCTACTGAGACTACAGGTGAAAAGTGATGAAGGTGGAAACGTAGCCACAGGCTGTATCATAAAAGCTGTGGAAGAGACTTAGAATTTTGATTTAAATGTGATGGATAACTATTGGAGAGTTTGGGTAGGAAATGATAAACTCTGATTTTTAAAATTTAATCATTGTACTTGAAGTATAACACATAAACAGAAAAATGTGTAGACTATCGCTGTTTGGTTAAAAATGATTATAAAGTGAGTACCCAGGGGCCATACTCAAGTCAAGAAGTACAAGGTCGGCAGCACCCTGGAAGCCCCTATGTGCCCTTTCCTGATTAAAGCTCCCTCCCTTCCTTCTAGATGAAGCCACAATCCTCAGTTTAAGGAAGTCATTTTCTTTACTTTCTTTATAGTTTTAGCATTTTAGTGTGCATCTCTAATTCATTCTACTTATTTGGGGCTATTAAGAATTTCTTTTTTTTTTAAAGAGGAGCTGATATTTTTTATTTTATTATTATTTTTATTTTTGGCCATGCCACTCAGCATGCAGAATATTCGTTTCCCAACCAGGGATTGAACCTGTGCCCCCTGCAGTGGATGCACCAAGTTTTAACTACTGGACCACCAAGGAAGTCCCAATTTTGGACTCTTTTAAATTTTCACTGTAATCACTGAGTGTATATTATTCTGTGACTGGCTTCTTCCACTTAACATTTTTTTTTTTTAATACAGTAAAAGTAACTTACGGATTTTTTTTTTAAATTTTTTTTCCATTTATTTTTATTAGTTGGAGGCTAATTACTTTACATCATTACAGTAGTTTTTGTCATACATTGAAATGAATTAGCCATGGATTTACATGTATTCCCCATCCCGGTCCCCCCTCCCACCTCCCTCTCCACCCGATCCCTCTGGGTCTTCCCAGTGCACCAGGCCCGAGCACTTGTCTCATGCACCCAACCTGGGCTGGTGATCTGTTTCACCCTAGATAATATACATGTTTCAATGCTGTTCTCTTGAAACATCCCACCCTCGCCTTCTCCCAGAGTCCACAAGTCTGTTCTATACATCTGAGTCTCTTTTTCTGTTTTGCATATAGGGTTATCGTTACCATCTTTCTAAATTCCATATATATGTGTTAGTATACTGTAATGGTCTTTATCTTTCTGGCTTACTTCGCTCTGTATAATGGGCTCCAGTTTCATCCATCTCATTAGAACTGATTCAAATGAATTCTTTTTAATGGCTGAGTAATATTCCATGGTGTATATGTACCACAGCTTCCTCATCCATTCGTCTGCTGATGGGCATCTAGGTTGCTTGCATGTCCTGGCTATTATAAACAGTGCTGCGATGAACATTGGGGTGCACGTGATTTTTTTATCTTAGATCTTTTAAAAAATTATAGTTGATTTACAGTGTTGTGTTAGTTATAGGTGTACAGCAAAGAGATTCAGTTTTATATACACACACACACATATATATTAGTGCTTTCTAGGAATTAGGAGGAAGAGAAGAATGAAGAGTAACTGCTAATGAGTAAAGGGTTTTCTTTTGGGAGTGATTAAAAAACATCTGAAGTTAGATTGCAGAAAACGATTGTGTACCTCTGTGACTGTACAAAATATCATTAAATTGTATGCTTTGCACAATGAGTTACATAGTTTGTGAATTATATATGTTTAAAAAATGGAGTGGCAAACAAATATTTTGTTTACTAAACCTAAAACCTGGAGAGTATGATTGTGGGAAATGGGAATTACATTTGAAATTAAGAGACCAGCAATTTAAAAAATTGTTTATATATATGTATATACATGTATATATATATATACACCTATCACTATATATGGATAGTGTATGTCATATTTATCACAATATATGTATATTACTTATATACATATATGTGCTTTATCACAATGTTAAACAGTAGAAGCAGAGAGCCTGTTTAGGAAACCATTAGAGTAGTTCAGGCAAGAGATGATGATGCTTGGATTAGGAAGGTAGTGGTGGAAGTGGTGAAGAAGGCTTGATTGGGGAAATATTTAGAAGGTAGACCATGACAAGATTGACTTACACTGATGTCATGTGTAAGAACAAAAGACAAATCTTCCGTGAGTGTATAAAACCATTGTGATGAGCTGTAATGAGCAGACATTTCTCGTAGGATTTTCTCACTCTTAAAATCCTCAAGTCTGACAAAGTTCCTACTTCTTATTGCTCAAGGATTCCTTTCTTCCCTTTTAGCTGTTGTTGCCCTTACTAAAGGGGAAACAGAGAATGAATGAACCATTCACTTTATATTTAATTTTAAAAAATTTATAGAACAAGACACACAATTGCTAGGTGGGTTTGTTCTTCTAAATTGATATTATTAAGGATGTCACCCTAAAGTAGGTTTTATTCAGTGTGAGAGATAGTTACTTGTTAAGAGACTTTGAAGCTTTAGAAGAAACTTTAAAAATTTTTGTTTCATATGCACTTAATCCTTTTCCTCTGCAGTTCGTTCTATTGGCTCTATTGCACTTAGAAAAGCCGAAGACATTGACTTCAAGTACCACTTTGACTTCTTTAGTGTGAATTTCAATGAAGAACTGGTGGCACTGTATGGTGGAAGTCTTCAGAAACAGACTAAGTTTGTGCATGAATGCATTAAAACAATTCTCAAGCTCTATAAGGTATGAGATAATCATGGAGATCAATAGTGATCAGCCTACTGGTATCTTTTTTTGTTTGTTGAAGAGACTCAGCGTATTTTAAATTATTTGTTTACATGAGCTCCCAGATGTCTCAGCGGTAAAGAATCCGCCTGCCAGTGCATGAGATACAGGTTCGATCCCTGGGTCAGGGAGATGTGCTGGAGTGGGAAATGGCTGCTACTCCAGTATTCTTGCCTGGAAAATTCCATGGACATAGGCGCCTGGTAGGCTACAGTCCGTGAGGTCCAAAGAGTTGTGTTTGTACAAACACACACACATACACAGAAGTTGAAGCAAAGGTAGCACAAAGGTTTTCTTGTGTGAAATTCTGTTGCTTTGAATTTAGTCATGGGTTTTGAAATTCAAATTCAGTTTACAAGAACTCTTTCTTGTGAATTTTGGGAAAACAAATTTTTTTTCCTTTATATACAAATTAGGAGTGCAGTGCATTTCCTAAATCCATTAGTATGGATTTGTTGAAATTATCAACGCTAATTGTGAATTTACCTATTTTTTCCTCTAGTTTGGTAATTCTGCTAATTGTCTAAATAACTAGTACTAGAGTAGACCACTTCCATATATAAACAATTATAAAACTGGTGAAAATATCTGAAGCACATGTTTTCAGATGTTGGACAACCAAATGGTAAAGGTCTATGATCACCAAAAGAGGGAAAACATGTGATGTGAGCTCCTTGAGTGCCCAGCTTTCTGCCTGGAAGCATCTTCCAGACCATGGGGTAAAATTTTTAGAGGTGAAACAGAGCAAATTGACATCACTAAGCTGAATAAGGCAGGGGCTGGCATTTGGAACTACTGACATGGCTAGGTTTGTGGTCAGAGTAGAAGAAGAGAACTAAGACCTAGGCATAGATAGGAGCTCTCGAGATTTGATTCTTTCAGTCTTTGAGTGCTACGTTATTGTATGCACAGGGCAATACAAGGCAATAGCACACCAAGGAGGAAGGGTTAGGATTAGAGCGCCAGTGTCTCTAATTGGTTCAGAATTAAAAGGTTAAAATATTTATTTCCAGTAATGAATTCATTATGAGGTTTATAATTTATTTAGAAGGAAAATATATACTAACGGTGAAAAGAGAGGAAGAGGAATAGATAGAATTATTCCACTACAGTAAGAAGTATAATGTTAATTCATGATAGACTGATAAGGTTGTATACTGTAATTTCTAGAGTAACAACAATAAAAAAGGAGATGCAGCTAAAGAGCAAATGGAGGAGAAATACAGATCTACTTCAGAGATACTGCAGGTTAGGTTCCAGACTGCGGCAATAAAGCAGACACTGCAGTTAAGCAAGTCTCATGAATTTTGGGGGGTCTAGTTCATACAAAGTTATGTTTGCAGTATACCGTGGACTCTTTAAGTGTATGACAGCGTCATGTTTTTAAAAATGTGCATACCTTAATTTTAAAATATTGCTAAGAAATGCTGACCATCATTTGAACCTTCATAATAGTAACATCAGAGGTCAGTGATCACACAGCTTACCATAACGAATGAAATGGAAAAGTTTGAAACATTGCGATAATTACCAAAATGTGACACAAAGTGAATAAATATTATTGGAAAATGGCACAAATAGACATGCTCAGTGCAAAGTTGCCATAGACCTTTGATTTGTTAAAAATGCAGTATCAGTGAAGTATAATAAAATGTATTCAATCTGAAAGGAAAGAACCACAAGACAGATGGGACAAACAGAAAACAAATGGCAAGATAATAGAGTTCAGTGCAGCTATCAATAATTATATCAATTGTAGATGAATTAAACACTCCAATTAAAAGGAAGATCTTGTCAGATTGGATTAAAAAACAAGACCCACCAAACTATGCTAATCTGAGTACTGGAAAGCAAAAACCATTTTAGATTTAAAAATCCTGATTAAGAAATGTAAAGGAATGGAAAAAATACACATACAAATACAGATAGTGTGAAAGTTAGCATGGCAATCTTAGTATCAACTAAATAGAGTCTAGGACGAAAGACATTACATTGAAAAAGAGGGACATTTCTTGGTAATAAGAGTCAGCTCATCAGAAGGGCCAAAGTATCTCAAGGGAGTATGCAGCTAGTAGCAGAGCTTCCAAGTTGATGAAGCAGAATTAACAAACTAGAGGAAAAATAGGTAAATTCACAATTAGAGTTGATAATTTCAACAGTCCTCTCTCAATAATTGATGAAATAAATAGAAAACCAGTAAAGTATACAAGATTTTAACACTGTTAATCAACTTGACCTGCTGACATTTATAGAACATGTCCACCAACTGTAGAAACAAGCTGGGCTTACTGATATTTATAGGTCACACCCAACAACTGAACAAGCTATGACCTCTTTCAGTGCACACGGAACATTTACTAAGATATGCCACATGTCAAGCCATAAAACAAGTCTCAGTGTCAGGACTGAAGTCATACAGGGTTTATTTTCTGAACATAACAATTAAATTAGAAATGTCAGCAAAAAGATATCTGGAAAATCCTCAAATGTTTGGAAATGACTTCTAGATAACCCAGAGGTTAAAAAGAAAATCACGGGTGAAATTTGAAAATGTTTTGAATTGAATTAAAATAAAAAGATGTCATCAGAATTTGTAAGAGTAAAGTAGTAGTTAGAAGTATAGTTTTAGGATTCATAAGTGATTTTATCAGAATCACGGGTAAATGGTCAGTATTTAGAAATCAGTGATCAAATGGAAGGTGAAGTTTTGAAATGCATTTACAGTAGTATAAAAAATCTTATAGATAAATTTAGTGAAAGATGTGCAAGATCTGTTCACTGAAAACTGCAGACCCTTCTGGTAAAAATTAAAGAAATCCAAAATAAATGAACAGACCAACTTTATGGTTTAGAATACTCAAGGTTAAGATGTAAATTTTCCCCAAATAGACCAATAGATTTAATGCTCAACAAATCAAATACCAGTAGTTCTTTTTTTTAAATTGATATGCTTATGTGGAAAGAATCAAAGCAACAAATAATAAAAAAAAAAGACCCATCTTGGAAAAGAACAAAGTTGGAGGTCCTGCATTGCCTGATTCAAGACTTAACTGTAAAGCTACAGTCATCCAGTCATTGGTATTCCAGTGTATCCTGAAAATGAAATTTAGGTGTCTTGATTCGTCGCCTAAGTCAGCATTTTAAAATTACTTCAAATATTTTTTAGCTTAAATCTACACTTATTGTAGGATGAAACAAGCCGTAAGATGAAGCAGAACCTTTTACATATTTGATAGTTATTAGATAAGATAAATTAGATGGGATTTCATTCCATAAATGATTTTCCCAAAAAACAATTGTGTCTCTAATGTTATGTATTAGGTGCTTTGTTTTTCTTCTTTTTTTTTTTGTTGTCTTGTTTTCTCTAACAAATACATGTTACATTTTTAATAGAACTAATAGACTTTCTTCTAAATTGAGGCTTTTAGTAAGTATTATTTCTGTTACAAGCAAGTATAATAGGGGTTAAGAGACAACTCAGTCTTGTTGGATGGATATGACTTGGGTATGGGAAAGTGAGAGGACATTTTAGATGGAAGAAACCGCATTTGTTCATCATGTGAGTCTGCATGCAAATATAGGAATGAATAAAACAAATCTAAGCCCTCATGGAACTGTGTTCCAATAGGGAGAGGCAGGCATAAAACATCATAAGTAAGAAAAATGCATACTATCTTGTGATAAATATCAGGAATTAAAAACAGAAAAGGGGGATAGGTAGTTGAAGGTAGACTATGATTATAAATAAGGACATCCAGTGAAGACCTCTGTTGAGACACAGACAATTTGATACAAACTGACTATGCCAAAGCCTTTGACTGTGTGGATCACAATAAACTGTGGAAAATTCTGAAAGAGATGGGAATACCAGACCACCTGACCTGCCTCTTGAGAAACCTATATGCGGGTCAGGAAGCAAAAGTTAGAACTGGACATGGAACAACAGACTGGTTCCAAATAGGAAAAGGATTCCGTCANCTTATTGGAAAAGACCCTGATGCTGGGAGGGACTGGGGGCAGGTGGAGAAGGGATCAACAGAGGATGAGATGGCTAGAATGGCATCACCGACTCCATGGACATGAGTTTGAGTAAACTCTGGGATTTGGTGATGGACAGGGAGGCCTGGCATGCTGTGATTCGTGGGGTCGCAAAGAGTCGGCACGACGGAGCGACTGAACTGAACTGAAGGATATGAGGGAATGGCTTCCCTGGTGGCTCAGAGGTTAAAGCATCTGCCTGTAATGCAGGAGAACCAGGTTCGACCCCTGGGTTGAGAAGATCCCCTGGAGAAGGAAGTGGCAACTCACTCCAGTATTCTTGCCTGGAGAATCCCATGGACAGAGAAGCCTGGTGGGCCAAAGTCCATGGGGTCGCAAAGAGTCGAACACGACTGAGCAACTTCACTTACTTACTCACTTAGCCTATTTAGATACCTAGGGAAAGTACTGCAGGAAGAGGGAACAAAGATACGAGGCAAACAGATGGGTCCTGTATTTCAGGAAAAACGAGTCTGATATGGCTGGAACAGTAAGTTAGTAGAAGGAAAGTTTGGGAGGAAGGCAGTTTGTAGAGTCTTGCAGGCAGTTTTAAGAATTTTGCCTTTTATTAAATGATACAGAAAGCCACTAAAGCGGTTTTTGAACAAAGGAATAGCATGTTCTGTTTTAGGTTTTTTCTTTTTAATTTTTATTTATTTTTGGCTCTGCTGGGTCTTTGTTACTGCTCAGGCTTTTCCTGTAGTCGTTGAGAGCAGGGACTGCTCTCCACTGCAGTGCACAGACTTCTCATTGCAGTGGCTTCTCTTGTTGCAGAGCATGGGCTCTAGGCATTCGGGCTTCAGTAGCGCAGGCTCAATAGTTATGACCCACGGTCTTAGTTGCTTTGCAACATGTGGAATCTTCCTGGTCTAGGGATCAAACCTGTGTCTCCTTCATTGGCAGCCAAATTCCTTACCACTGAGTCACCTGGGAAGCCCTGTTTTAGGTTATAACAGTGTCATTCTGGTGTCAGAGTGCTTTTGAGGACAAACTGAAGGGATGTAAAGGTAGAAGTAGAGAGGCCAGTTAGGGAATTATTGAAGTAATTTTGGCAAGATAATTTTGGTTTGGATCAAGTTGATAGCAGTGGAGATGATGGGAAATGGTCAGACTGGTATAAATCTCAAAGGCAACAGGAGTTGCTGGCAGTTCAGGTATGGAGGGGTAATGTGAGAGAAAAAGAAGAGTTAAGGATGACCCAAACTAGAAAAAGGGCTTCCTTGGTGGCTCAGATGGTAAGCAATCTGCCTGCAATGCAGAAGACCCAGATTCAGCCCAGGGGTCAGGAAGATCCCTTGGAGAAGGGCATGGCAAGCCACTCCAGTATTCTTGCCTGGAGAACTCTGTGGACAGAGCAGCCTGGTGGGCTACAGTCCATGTGGTCGCAAAGAGTCAGACATGACTGAGAGACTAACACTTCACTTCATTTCAAACTAGGAAAACTAAAAGAATTTAATCATCATTAACCAGGGTGGGGAGAAATGTAGGGGGAACAGATCTAAAGGATATTAAGAGTTCAGTTCTAGACAGATTGTATTTAAGGTACATTTTAGACATCCCAAGTGTAGCTAGCATGCAGTTGTAGTTTAAGGTTAGAGTTGAGGAGAAGAGATCCAGTCTGGAGATAATAACTTGAGGATTGACAGCATATAGATGTAGTTAGACAGCATATTAAAAAGCAGAGACATTACATGGCCAACAAAGGTCCGTCTAGTCAAAGCTATGGTTTTTCCAGTAGTCATGTTTGGATGTGAGAGTTGGACTATAAAGAAAGCTGAGTGCGAAGAATTGATGGTTTTGAACTGTGATGTTGGTGAAGACTCTTTGAAAGTCCCTTGGACTGCAAGGAGATCCAGCCAGTCCATCCTAAAGGAGATCAGTCCTGGGTGTTCATTGGAAGGACTGATGCTGAAGCTGAAACTCCCAATACTCTGGCCACCTGATGCAAAGAACTGACTCATTTGAAAAGACCCTGATGCTGGGAAAGATTGAAGGCGGGAGGAGAAGGGGAAGACAGAGGAAGAGATGGTTGAATGGCATCACTGACTCAATGGACATGAGTTTGAGTAAACTCAGTGTTGGTGATGGACAGGGACGCCTGGCGTGCTGCAGTCCATGGGGTCGCAAAGAGTTGGACATGACTGAGTGACTGAACTGAATGGAACTGAGATGTAGTTAGAGCCATGAGACTAGATGAGATCACTAATGGGTTCAAGATGTGAAAGAAGATATTTAAGGTATGGAGGTCTGAGTCACACCAGTATTATGAGATGAGGGAAGATAAGAAGGAACCAGCAAGAGACTAAATAGGAGCAGTCAGTGAGGTAAGAGGAGAACCATAAGAGTATCTCATCAAGGAAACCAAGCAAAGCATTTTCAAAGAGGAAGAAGTGATCAGCTATGTAAATTGCCATTGATAGGTCAAGTAAGGTGAGGATTGAGAATTGATCTTTAGATTCCTTGGTGACCAGGTAAGTGCAGTTTTAAAGGAGTGTTGCGGGGGAAAACCTGATCAGAATGGGCTTAAGGGTGTTTGAGAAATTGGAGACAGCAAGTACTGTGCAGACAACTGTTTTTGAAGAGTTTTGCTCTTCAAAATAGTATATAAAGAAAGATGTGGTTGCTAAAGTAGAAGTAAAAATAAAGTTTTTACTTTTTAAGAGAGAATAACAGTATATTTATATACTAGTGAGAATGATCTAGTAGTTATTTTTGCTTAGTTCTCAATTGTGTCTGACTTTTTGTGACCTTTTGGACTGTAGCCCACCAGGCTCCTCTGTCCATGGCATTTTTCAGATGAGAATACTGGAGGAGGTTGCCATTTCCTCCGCCAGGGGATCTTCCTGACCTGGGATTGAATCCACATCTCCTGTGTCTCCTGCATTTCAGGCAGATTGTTTGCCCTCTGAGCCAGTGGGGAAGACCATATTTATATACTAGTGAGAATGATCTAATAAACAGAAACAATAATGCAGGAAGAAAGTGAGAAGAATTGCCAGAGTGCTGTCCTTGAGAAGGCCAAAGGGGACAGGTTTCAGAGCACATATGTAGCGTTTGGCTTTTGCTAAGATCAAGTATGTTTCGGAAGATCACCAGAACCATCCTCAGGCTGATGTTTCTCCAGGAGGCCTTACAGGACTCAGCATATAGTTGTTCTCATGGTTATGGTTTATTCCCGTGAAAGGATATAAAGCAAAATTGGCAAAGAAAAAAGGTGCATGGGGTGAAGTCCAGAGAAGCCAGTGAAGCTTCCCAGTGTCCCTTTGCAGGAAAGTCACTCTGGGTGCATTTAATTCCTGCGGCAACGCTTGTGACAGGCATGCAGTGTCATCTGTGAGAGACATTCCCTAGAGGCTCAGTAGCCAAGGTTTTCCTGAAGGCCAGTCACCTGGACACCTGGTGCCTGTGCTTCCCGTGTGCCAAAATCCCAACAAAAATAAGGCCGAAAGCGTTCAACATAAACCGTGTTTACAAAGCAGTTTCCGTATGAGCCACTGTTGTCATTTAGGAAATGATGGGAGCCCTTCCAAAGTCTGTGGTCCCAGACAGCAAACCAGAGCCAACCTTGAATACAGTCAGTCTTAAGGATAGCAGTCTCAGGTCTATTCTGTTAACTCTGGTTCTGCATGAGGCCCAGATTATAGTAACAGGAGAGAAGGCCTGGATGAAGGATCAGTGCGGAAAGTGATGAACAGAAGTTTGGTAGTGGAACCGAGGATACTATATGGAGATAGAAAAGATTTTTTAAAAAGAAATACTTTAAAAATTAAAATATGTAATTATCAGTGAATAAATGTGAATTGCTGACTCCTTTTTCAGCCCAGGCCCACAATAGAGAAATAATTTGATGAGATAAGATATATCAATATGATGCAATAGTACATTGCTATGGCAACTGGAATAGTTGTGGCTTTTTTGTGATACCTCCACTTTCAAATAAGTGATCTGACTTTATATATCCTATAAAATCTAATATTCTGATATACACCAAATGTAATCACACCTCTTACATACAATATAACAAATGGTAAAAACATGATTTGCTAGACCAAGTGTTTTGATTTTGGTTCAGAAAACCAAAGCCTAACTTTTAAAAATGCTTGCAGAACGCAAAACAGTATGTATATACTAATTACAAGTGTATGAAAATGTATTTCTGTCTTATTAAGGGAGATTATATAAATAGTTTATTCTTCTTTTTTCAATAAAATTGCTTATATGTTGAGAGAAGTATTTATTATGTTTACTGTGATTCTAATCCTTAATCATGCCTTAGTAATTTTTTTTTTTTAATAGGGTCAAGAATTTGCTCCAAAAAGTGTGGCAATAATCGGTCATTCTATGGGTGGCCTTGTTGCAAGAGCATTGCTTACACTGAAAAATTTTAAACAAGATCTGATCAATCTTCTTGTTACACAAGCCACACCTCATGTTGCTCCTGTGATGCCTTTAGATCGTTTCATTACAGGTGGGTACTGTTACATAAACACTAACTGACCTCCCCATTGTTGTTTAGGATTAAACAAATCTTTGCAGCTGCTCCCTTTAGAGTATGCTACAGGTTTATCCATGTGTGAAGCAGCTTAGGTTTAAATCAGCACTTCCAATTCTGAGCATCTCTTTTTGTGACTTTCAGCTTAAGACTCATAACTAAAGCTGCTGTTAGCTTCCTCTGCCTGTTGCATGTTAGCATGGACGGCATGTGTCCTACAGCCTCTAGGCCTTTGAGCTTCAGCTTAGCTGTTCTTGAGGTTGACTCCCAGTCTCCTGAAGTGTATTTATATTTCTGTGTTTTGTTAACTCTTCTGGCTACTCTATTCAAAATACATGCATTTAGGTAAAATAGTAGAAGTGCCTTTTTTAAAAATAAATAGATCTGCTAACACTTTATATGATGAGATGAGTTAGGATTGCTAACATTTATAGAGCTCTTATATTTTGGATATTGTGGCAAGAACTGCGTGACTGTTAGGTCATTTGATCTTTAGGGCAGTCCTTTGAGGTAGCTACCATTATTATAGCCATGTTCACAGATAGAAAAAAAGAGGCCAGGATAAATTCTTGGCCCGAAATCACATAGCAAGAAAATAGTGGAGCCAGTATTTGACACTGGCAAGCTTGTTTCTGGGCCTGTGCTTTTACCCTTTGCATATGCTGCCTCTGAATTGAGTTATATTATGATAACAGAGGAAATAAAACTATGGGTAATACTGTAATTTTGCAGAGAATTTTGAGTGAAGAACAGGAGTTTATGATTGCTGTCATCTAATTAAATAGTGATAATGTTGGAGAATAAGAATTAAATGCCTACTCTCTCAACTTTTTATTAAAGTCAAGTATTGTCTTCATGGCTTATTGGAATATTGTATGTGTAGAAGAAAATCTTTAGAAAGAAATAATTATTTTTCCTGATCAGTAAATTTGTACAGCTTCTTATTCTATAAAAATTTGCATCATCTTAATTGTGCTGCAAATTTTTTTTATAGATTAGTGAGACACATACCCTAAGGACTCCTAACCAAAGTAGCTTTCCAAAACACCCATCTCAGCATAACATTGTCAAGGAGTAACTTATATGCTGAGATATCTGGTGCAGTAATACTTAAAGAGAAGGTTGATATTTCTCCTTATTATATTTAAAACTTTGCCTGTAGAACTCTTTGAATAAAAATTTTAATTTTGTATTGAAGTTAAATATGCCTTCCTGATTCTAATAATTATAAATTATTATTTATAATAGGTTTAGAAAAAATTAAAGACATAGTCATAATACTTGTCATCATAATCAAGATTTCTCTTACTGCATTTTATGTGGTATATGTAGATGAGCCCTACCAGTTATATTAGAATTACTCAAAATCCTTTTTAAAAATCTCTTTGAGGAAAGAACTGTCAAGAGAGTCAGGTCTTAGTGTCTTTGAAGGATACTTATGGTCTACCTCTAAATGGCTTAGACCAGGTTTCCGCACCCTCTGGGATCGGATGCCCAATTATCTGAGGTGGATCTGATGTAATAATACTAGAAATAAAGTGCAGAATAAATGTAATGCCCTTGACTCATTCTGAAACCATCCCCCCCCATCCTGGTCCATGGAATAATTGTCTTCCACAAAATCTGTCCCTGGTTCCCAAATGGTTGGGGACCACTGGCTTAGGCTGAAAGTGCTTCTTAGGATCAAGGTGCCTTTCCAGTAATTAGCAAGCTTCTTGGGCTTCCCTTGTGCCTCACTGGTAGAGAATCTGCCTGCAATGCTGGAGACCTGGGTTCGATCCCTGGTTGGGAAGATCCCCTGGAGAAGTGAAAGGCTACCCACTCCAGTATTCTGTCCATGGGGTCGCAAAGAGTTGGACACGACTGAGCGACTTTCACTTTGCCATTTATTTTGTATATATTTTTAATTGCATAAAGCCATAATTAGTATAAAAAAGGAAAAGTTCAAAGGATGATAGGTTTTTAAGTTTTTAGGAGACCCATATTATGCGCAGAAGTAGATTCTCTGTTTGTACTTGTTGGAAATACTGTCCTTAAATAGGGAGAAAGGAAGCCTTGCGCTGGGCTCTGCACTTTAGAGGGCCCTGCTCTGGTGTTGCCACACATACACAGGTGTGGAGTGTACAGGGCAAACAGCCTCCCCACTTAGAGGTTGTACCTTTACTTCTGGACCATGATCCAGGTAGCCAGTCTTTCAGACTTTTCTTGTCCATATGCCTAAAGCTCACTTCCTTAGCCCCTCTTTGGATCTGTCTTGAGGACAGGTATGTGCAATCCTGAGCTTGAACTGTGGCCAGGGGTGGCCCTGCTTGAGGCACAGACAGAACTTGGCTGTGCGCAGGAGGTCCTTGTGATGCAGGATGGAACGTGTGTGGGAAGTAAAGGAGGAGAGCTCAGGGACCTGCTCTCCCTGTGCGGCAGATGCCCACAGAGATGCGTTCTCCCTGCGCTGCCATCGGCCAGTGTCCGGCTCCGAGGTGTCCTCGTTGCTGTCGCTCAGCCCCTCAGTCCTGTCCGCCTCTTTGCAGCCCTGTGGACTGCAGCACACTGGGCTCCCCTGGCCTTCACCATCTCCCAGAGCGTGCTCAAACTCATGCCCGTTGAGGCGGCGATGCATCCAGCCATCTCATGCTCTGGCGCCCAAATTCTTCTCACCTTCCATAGATAAAATGGAAAAATTATCCCCAAGTAGTTCCCTTTGAAACTGCTTGTTAAACTAAATGAATAGAATCCTCTTAAACATCAGATTTTCTACAGTAGAGTCCCAAGAATAATGTGACTGTCACTGCCCTGATAGATGATATTTTAAGAACTTAAATAGCACTTTGTGTGGTCACCAGTACTATAGTAGCTGCAGTAAAAAGCTACTGAGCCCTTATAAACAAGGACACAGCCATGATTAGGAAGATCTACAGTCATATAAAAATGACTTAGCGTAGTAAATCTGTGTCTTTGGAAGAATTTGGGCTGTTTCTATATTATGTGGCTCGTGAAAAAAAAGCATCCTTGTGGAATGTAGAGACCTATTTGCTATAGACTTGTCAAAGCTAGTAAAATCGGGTTATCTTTTTTTTTTTTTTTTGATATGTTTACTAACTCAGTATTTGTACTCTGATGGGGAAAGTAGAATATGTGTAAAGATAACTGATTTTACTCAAAGTAGAGAAATGTGGATGGCATTGTTTATAGACAATTCATATGGCTTAAACAGAAATTCAGTTTAATATTAGTATCCTAGATAGGTTATTGTTTCAGGGAGTGGTTGCTAACTTTTAATGTATGTCTTTTTTATTTCCCACCAGATTTTTATATGACTGTAAACAACTATTGGATTTTAAATGCCAGACAGATAAATTTAACCACACTTTCTGTAGCTGGAGGATTCCGGGATTACCAAGTTCGTTCAGGACTGACTTTTCTACCAAAATTAAGCCATCATACCAGTGCCTTATCTGTTGTGGTAATCTTTTTTAAAGATTCTACTGAAGTAGTAACATGATGGTCACAGTGGGGCATGAAAGGAGAAGTGATATGTGGTTGGTTGGAAATGATTGCTTAGTTGCTGTAGTATAATGTGTGTACATGTTTGCATGTGTCTGTGAGAGGAGAGAGATATGAAAAAATGAATATTATTATTTTGGGAAGGCAGAGACATGGATACTTAAATCCATGGAAAGTGAAAAAAATGTTAGAAACTTCATGCAAATCATTCTTGTATAAGACGATTGTTTCTTGTTCAAAGTAATTGCCTATCCATTGATTAGAGTTTTAAGTATGAGAAAGTGTGGGCTGAAATCCAAGGGCTGTTGGTGTATCTCAGTGGTATGCTATACACAACAGTAGTAGATCAAACGTTTCACATACTCTTGAGTTTTATACTTGAATGAAGGTTTACTGGTTTTAAAATTTAAAATTTAGCTTTGATACTTGATAGTAGCTTCCCTGGTGGCACAGACAGTAAAGAATCTGCCTGCCATGTGGGAGACAAGGGTTCGATCCCTGGGTTGGGAAGATTCCCCTGAAGAAGGAACTGGCAACCCCCCCCCAGTATTCTTGCCTGGAGAACCCCATAGACAGAGGAGCCTGGTGGGCTACAGTCCATGGGGTTGCAAAGAGTTGGACACGACTGAGTGATTGATACTTGATAGAGTATCAAAGTATAGATAGAGCCCTGATGGAGTATCAAAGTATAGATAGAAACCTGATAAATAAACTTGCTTCTTATTCTTCCCTACTAGCACATCAGGTATTTGATCTTTAACTGGGATACATAGTTTCTGTAAAATAAGTTCAGGTTTCTTTTTAGGACTTACATTATTTTTGTATTTTGAAGTCTTTGAAGTCTTCAGTTAAGAGCTTAATTTTTAAACTCAGTATACACATTGTCTCCAAATATAACTCAATTTAATTTCTAAAAAAAATTCATAGCATTCCTTTTTCTTTTTAGATGATAGTTCTTTGTTTCATAGTTGTTCTCTTCATAGATATGCCTTCGCTCGACTTAGCTACTATTGCTCTTCCATAAATCGCTATCCATTAAGTAAATATTGAATGCTATATAGAACAAAAATTATTAGGCTGTTCTGCCCTTATCAACCATTTTCTTACTACTGGAGGAGCTATGATATAGCCGTAATAGCTTTGGAACTAATTAGTACTAATTTACTTATTGGTAAACCTCTCTAAGCTCATTGTTGGTATGAATCTGGTTTTTTGCTGCTGAAATATTTTGGGCAGATATATTCTAGTTCTCGAAACTCTAAATATGAAATTCTTAGTAAAAATAGACTTTTAGTCATATAAAATTGGATATAAGTTATTGCCTAGACTTGATCTGGAGCGTGATGCTGTATTGGTACTCTCTTTTACAGCTTTTAAAGAATTTGTTTTTTTTAATGGTGTGTGTGCACATGCTTTTCTAATCGATTTGTTAATGTATTGTGTTTAAGGCAACTTGTGTATCTTTGTCTCTGATGAAAATATATTTCACTTATTATGGAATGTAAAGCTGGTTATTGTATAATCTGAGTTTTATTTAGCTTTTAAATATTTCATTATATAGTTTTTAGCTCTCAAATAATCTTGTCTTTTGTATGTCTACATGTATATTCTCCTTAAAAAAACAATTATTAAGAAGTAATTTTTTAATGATTATCTCGAGACCAGTTAAATGACATTGAACCCATTGGGAAAAAAACCATTCAAGTTAGAGACCTTAGTTATTTTAGTATGGTAGATCAAACTTCTATAATGTTCACTTATGCAGATAATGGCACTTAAACAGTAGAATTTTACATTTTGCTCATTTAACTGCCCTAGGTGTGTATTTAAGTGGGGGTAGTTTTATGAAGGAGGCTCAGTAAGGGACTCAGGCTCTCCCTTCTTGAATGCCTTACCCAAAAGGTTGCTTTAATCATCACTGTTTGAGCCACAGGAAGGGAGGAGAAAGCATGAAGGCAGAGCAGTCAGGTCTGACAGTGGCTCTTCTCCCTCTTTTTTACACTGTTAGTACTGAGTCACACCTTAGAGACTGAAATATGCTCTCTAGCTACCACAAAGATTGTGAGCAACTACCTTTACTGTTTATGTTGGCTTTTCTTTTTTTTAGCTCTAACACAGATATTAGACTGAATGAAAGTAAATTAGCTTTGTGTCCTAGTTAATAGTAAATTATGTCTACATTGAGTTCTCATTTTACTGAGGATCTAATGAAACCTTAGAACCACAGTGAACTCTGGTTGTCTCAGTTTTTAAAGTAAGTTGCCAGCAGTAATTCCTAAATAAGATATCTAATATCTATAAGTTCATTTAATAAGCTGTAGATTTTCCTTCAACTGTAGAACCTGGAACCCAAATACACATTGTTATTTGCAGAGTACCAGGGTTACAATGAATGACTCAATGACTCATTAGAAGTTATAAATAACTTTTTTTTTTTAAATTAAAGAGGCATGTTAGGCCTTTAAATTTTATCACACATAGCATTGTTAGTTTCCTATTTTCATTTTATTTTGACATTTCTAAGGAGAGCATCTCTTTGTGTCTTTGACAGTGCAGAGAGAGAGATGATATGAAAAATAATATTAGATTTACTTAATATTCCCCCATTGTATGTAAGATGCTGTTCATTCACGAGGAGGTCATTACCTTGTATCAAAAAATTCTCTAGTTCTTGGATGTTGCTGGTCATTGTTAGGAAACCTGAAAACGTACATTTTTTACTAGGCTTTTGCCCTTCTGTCTCTAACCAGTAGTATATATTGCTAATCATCTAGAGATTTTTTTTTTTAATGAAAATCTGTACCCCACTTATAAAAGTCTGATTTGGTAGTTTTGTGATTAGGCATATTTATTTTGAATAAAGTCTCCCCAGGCCTAGATATCTCTCAGATATATCCTGATTAGAATTAACATCTTAGAATTTATTAAGTGATAGTCTAATCAGAACTGAAATTACTGAAATATCTTATAATTTATACATACACTATGATTTATTAAAAATTTATAAACTCAGCCTCTTATTAGAGTAATGAGGAGTTAGACATTAAACTTCAGTAAGTAACCTGTAGATGTTTTAATAATTTTTAAAGGATAATTTAAGCTTGACTAAGTAGTAATGACAAAGAGAGTTATTTTATGCAGGAAATATTGTAATATTTTGGGGTCACCTTTTTTGGGGGGGTCACCTTTTTATAAGACATTTTAAAATGTCTGTGCATCATAAAATAGTGAAACTAATGTTACATGTTTCTAAATACTATCCTATAAGAATTTTAAGGCTGTTGGAGAATAACAAGTGTGCTTTTCTTAACTATGATTTTGTTTCTTTCCTTTTAGAGTTCAGCAGTGCCTAAGACATGGGTCTCAACAGACCACCTCTCCATTGTGTGGTAAGTTAATATAACTTTGGCAGTTTGTGACGGTCCTCTTTTCTCATGAGTGAATAGATTGGTTTGTTATCTTTCTTAGAGCTTTCTCTATAAATAAATAAGGGCTTGGGAGAAAGATTAACTTAGGGGTTAGAATTTCAACCTTTGTTCTTGTCTTGGTTTGACCAAGGTGTCCTTGGCAGCCTGTAAAACCATCGCTTGAAGAACCAGTAGCATCAGTCTCAAATGAAGCTAATTGTCAAATGTCAAAATTTTGGGATTTATCATGGTTGGGCAGAATCAAAGACCCTTGGCCAGTCACCAAACTCAGGGACTTGATCATTGCAGCATTGATTATTCTGGAGCAGCACATGGAAAACCAAGTAGGAGTTAGATTTATGCTTAATATAAATAAATAGATTAAATAAGGGGCAGGAAATACATAAACCCTAGTACCTTATCTCTGTGTCCATTGGCTTAAAGATTCTCTTTTCACCTTCCTCTGGCTGTGCAATCAGTGGTGTCAGGAACACAACCATTCAGACATGTGAAGATGGGTCAGACAATATGCCTGTGTCCAGGGTAGACATGGAGATTTAGGGAAGACAGAGCAGCTGGATACTTCTACTCTGAAATATCTGGGAAGATTAAATTTACTTTATTTAGATAGGTTTCAGCTTTAAGATGTATGCTTAAAAAAAAAAAGATGTATGCTTAATAATAATGATTTGTTAAATAATTTTAGAGTTCACCGCATTAAAAAAAATGTCTATAGTCCATTAATTTTTTGTTTTTTATCAAAGTTATTTATGTTTGTATCAAAAGTATATTTTTAAAGAAGGTTTCACTTGTAACATTTTATTCTTCAGGTGTAAACAATTGCAATTGACTACAATTCGAGCATTCTTTGATCTTATTGATGCTGATACTAAACAAGTATGTATTTTTAAACTAAAAGTTACTTCATTGAGCATTGAAAAATTTAATACATTTTTTTACTTGGATGATAGTAGAAGTCTACACCTTATATTGACTGTGATTAGTTTCAAGTGGAAATATCTTTGTTTATCTGTAATCTTTGATCACTAGTAATAATTAAGAATGCAGTAAAATTGAAAGAATTAAAGATACTGTAAATCTTCCTCAGTTCTTCCCTTTTACTGTTTAACATTTGATATATGTCCTTCTTTTTTGGGGGGGTGAAAAGAGAAGGAAATGGCAACCCACACCAGTATTCTTGCCTGGGAAAAATCCCATAGACAGAGGATCTGGCTTTCCTTGTGGCTCAGATGGTAAAGTGTCTGCCTGCAGNTGAAAAGAGAAGGAAATGGCAACCCACACCAGTATTCTTGCCTGGGAAAAATCCCATAGACAGAGGATCTGGCTTTCCTTGTGGCTCAGATGGTAAAGTGTCTGCCTGCAATGCGGGAGACCTGGGTTGGATCCCTGGGTTGGGAGGATCCCCTGGAGAAGGACACGGCACCCACTCCAGTACTCTTGCCTGGAAAATCTCATGGATGGAGGAGCCTGGCAGGCTACAGTCCATGTGGTCACAAAGAGTCGGACATGACTGATCGACTTCACTTTCTCTTTCTTTGGAGGAAAAAGTTCCTTTTATTTTTCATATTATTTGTCATTATGGCAGGTTTTGGGAATTCTTTCCCCTGAAGGCTCCAGTTTTTGAGAGACTATTATGTGTAGTTTCTTTCTCAGTAGCTCTCTAGGTAATGCTTTCCTTTTTATTGTGTCTTAACCTTGCTCCTGTAGCATTTTCTCTTAGGAATAAGGTAGTGTATTCTTTTCTTTACTCCTTCAGAAAGCTGCATAACTATTAGAGAGAATGATTGATAAAAGAAAGACACAAATTGATCTGTTTTACCACATTTTAAATCACAAGATGCCATATTTAAGTTAGTGTATTAAAGTAAATCAGCTTTATAGGTTTAACACTGTTAATATTGCAATTGTATAGACATGGAATGCAAACATTTTTCAGCTTTTCAACATTGTTTTAATTGTGACTCTTTAGCTATGGCCAATATGTTTAGGAAAAACCCTGTTTCAGCTGATAACAGATGAATTTCAGAATATATATTTTTTAAAATGATATATCAAACTAATTTTAACAAATCATATGTTTTCCATTAAACTCTAAGATGAGAAAACCCTAATACTAGCATGTAATAAATTATAATTTTGGATGGATAAGTGTTTTACAGATGCATTTCAAGGGACAAATGAGAGATTTTTGACTAATACTGTTAAGAATCAAAATACTATGAAACTGAGCTTTTTCACAAATTCACTGTATATGATAGACTAGACTAAATATTTGATAATAAAATTTAGGATATGTTACTAAACATTAGACATTAAAATGTTGGGATATTTTCCTGCTTCTCAAGAAGCATTCAGTTTAGGAAGAAAAACATACATACTTACAAGGGAACTATAACTCAAAGCATAAGTAGTCTCACATTAAGCACTTAGAACAGCGCCTAGACCAGAGTAACTGTTGCCTTTATTTTTATTGAAACTTCCCTGGTGGCTCAGCTCCTAAGGAATCCACACTTGAAACAAAGTTTCATTAGGTCATCACAGTGGATATAAAAGGATACAGAATATATCAATGTTCTTTCTAGATAACTCAAAATCCCAAGAAGAAATTGTTGGTTTTGAATCACCATTTTATAAGACACCCAGCAAAACACTTTGAGGAAAATCCAGCAATAATTTCTGACTTAACAGGTTGGTAGTAATAACATTTTAATTTTAAGTATAAGTTTTGGATATTATTTTAGGTAAATTGGTCATTAGCAGATAAACTCTTTTGTAATGCTTCCAGTGTTATAGTCCTGTTATATTTTATTAATTTCCCTGTGCTGAATTCTTATGAGGTTCTTGACTAAGAGAAAAAATTAAAAAGTGATTTGTAACATATTGCTGATAAAAATTTTCTGCTGAAAATAACATGACAGTAGCTAAGTTTAAAAGAGTTAATTTCCTCTCTTCTGACAGCTACATAAATAAATGCTATGTTATTCTTGACTTAGTCTCTTAGTATCATTGTTTAGTCTTGTGGTTTAATAGCATATCTTTTGCTGGTAAATTTTGTTTTTAATATGTATTTCATACTCTACTTAGGTTGGAAAATATTTGTTTACTTCTATTGATACTTCTTAGAGTTACTCACCAAATAGTTTTTAAATGCTTCACTTGATCTGAGTGCCCCTTGGTGATGAGTATATGGAGGACATCTCCTTGGATTTTATATTTTTTAAATAGCCGGTATTCAGGAAGATACTTTTTTCAAATCCTGTTACGACTGAGAAGTATGCAGTAAAAGAAATCACTTAATATTTTTTAAAAAGTCAAATAAATTAATTTCTTTTACCTTAGGGACATCTATGTGGGTTCCAGTAAAAGTGTCCAAATGGACATATGTGGCTTACAATGTAAGTATACCACCAATGGATTTAACAATTTTTTTTTCCAAAATNTGTAAAGTAATTAGCCTCCAACTAATATAAATAAATGAAAAAAAAAACAACTATTCTGTCTTTGACCAGTGGAAGCCGTTTCAGTGTAGGCACCTGGATCTTTTTGGTATAGCTGCTCTCTAGTTGTCTTTGATGTTTTCCTCACTCTAGTATAAGATAGTATTTTAGCTCATTGTGTGACATTTCCCATCCCAGATCTTGAATCTGGCTTTTTCTCAAAGAAGCTCTTCCTAGTTTTTGGTAAACAGTATCTAAAATCCGTAACTCAGGCACTTACAGGTGTTATGAGTAGTGAGTTATCATTTCTAAGGCCTTTCCAGTGAACAGAGCTAAGACATGTCCGGTCATGAGGCCAAAAACCAAACCAAACAAGAAAAGCATGCATTCATATTGATGCTTCCAAGACAAGTTCAGGTGTTCAGAGTTTGTACTGTTTTGCGTCTATATATTCTTTTCATTCCTAGAGTAATGGTTCACAACACCAAGAATGATAGAATTAAAATAATCCATTAGAATTCATTAGAATAATTATTTATTACTTTGTCTGAATTTTTGAATTATGAAATTATCTTCTCTCATAATAGTTTTATTGTGTTCTCCCTCTTGTTTTTAGGAATCTGATAAGATATATTTTACATTTCCCCTTGCAAATCATAGAAAAATCTACACTCATGTCTATTGTCAGAGCACCATGCTGGTAAGATAATTGGTACACTTTTATGTAAATTTTAAAGGCTGACTATTGTTTATTTTTAAAATTCAGCTTAATAGATCTCATCTTTAGCTATAAACTATTATTAAACCAATTTAATTGAAAAACATTTATCTAGAACAGAGTATTGATTGAAAAGTATTGATCAAAATGTATCTGCAACTGGTATACTGTTAGCTTGTACTTTACCTCTAGCTTAGGTTTTTCACCCTTTCTACCTTAGTTTCATAGTGTTTAGGATGAAGGAAATCAGTTCAGCGTTTCTTTAATTCTAAAATTATGTTAGTACATTAAAGAATAGATACATTTAAGCGAAACTGTTCTCTTTTATAAACTAAATCCTGTTTTTCCATTGACTTCCATACTGAAATTTGGAGTACATTTTATACCAAATATTCTCTAAAGTAGTTTAGTAACTTTTTGTTACAGTGTTATCCAGATTTACAGTGTCAGTATGATGATTTTGTGTATCTCTTTTTAATGAGTACCTACTATGCTACAAATATGTTATATGCTTTAGCATCTTTTCTTATATTAGGACTGATTAATGTCATATGGTATCTAGCCCATGTTCAATTTTCCTTTGTTCATTTAAGTTTTAAGTTGGCTTATTTGAATCACAATCCAAAAAGTACATACATGGCATTTGATTCATAGGTCTTATGTCTCTTTTATAACAGTCCCCTCTTTTTTCCTCCCATGCCATGTATTTGTTTTGGGTTTAGTTGATTGTATTCTTGTGCTATCTTTTAACGTGTATTTCTATCTATCATGTTTTCTGTAAACTGGTAGGTAGGTAGATCTAGAATCTTGAATAAATTTTTTTTTGGTAGGAGTGTTTTATAAGTAGAGCTGCATACTTACCACATTGTTAGCTAAGTGGTTGTCTCATTTTGAGGGGCAAAAAAAATCAGTGCATTGATTTTTCAGTGAACTCAGGTCCTACTGGCATGATCCATTATCAAGTCCTTCATCTAATGATTTTAGCAGCTGTTGAGGATGTCATTTTTTTTTTGCTATAGACAGATATTTTTTAGATCTATAAATCTTATGATCAAGTAGCGTTTTCTTTTCTGTATACTTGGGGAGTTAGCAAATCCTGAGTGACTTTTTCTCTGACTTTTAAGACAGGCTTTATAATTAGCTGAGGCAAGAGTGTTTACTAGATAACCTGAAGTTGTTCTTTTGACACCTTCTAGGTTTTAACAACACAGTGTCTTAGGGTTGGTTTGAATAATACTTTATTCAATCTGTTAGTGATTGAATCAGAATTCTCTAGACACCAAAGTAAGTAGTTTGGAATATTGGCAGTTTTCATAATAAAGGCTATCTTTGATATAGGCTCCTTTAGTAGCTGCGAAAACCAGTTGTACAGATGAGTTGATCTTGAGAGGTTGCTAGGTTTTCTTTGTCTAGGCCCATGCAGTTCTCTTCTGTTGCTTTGATTTATAATGTCATGTTTTTGTGCTGGGAAGCACAGATAACTGATAAAGAAGTCAGACAAGTATTTTGTCAGCAGTGGAGAGTAGAGAAGTACCACAATGTTCTTGTTTTCTTTCAACTTACTTTTCTATATTCTTGAAAAATATCTTAAAATTTTATTTAAACTCCATGAGGGCAGAGACTCAATCTGCTTGATTCATCATTTTTCTTGAGGGTTTAGCATAATTCCTTGCCTCCAGATTAGATTTTATAAATACTAGTTGAATGAAAACATTGATACTTTTATTGCCCTGTCTGTATACTAAGGGACAATGTATGTAGCTGTCTCAGCAGTGTTTCTTATTCTCTTATGCTCTGGTAGGAGTTCAGTATTGTTAGATCTTGGAGCACTGCTCTTACTACTTCATTAAAAGTTGAAGTGACAATCTTTGGTCATACTGCTTTTAAATAACTGAAGCTGAATATGTAATATTGTTAAAATACCACAGCCATCTCTGCAGTATTCCCAACCTGCACTAATAAAGTTACAACTAAGCTTTAGTCTTAAACCCTTGGAATTGTGTTTCAATCCAAGCACAGTCTCAGTTGCATAAAAGTTACCTGTCTAGTAATCAAATGAGAACTCAAATGATAAACTAAAAAGCTATATTAGATTATTATTTTTAATCAGTTGGCTTGACTCTGGCTTTTTTCCCCCTCTTTGTATGAAAGTCCACTTGTAGTTCATTCTTATTTTCTGTTAAAATGTAGGTTACTTTCTTTGTAATTTCTATCTAATTAAAGTGTGGACATTGCTGGACTCTAAATGTTTGTTCAGAAATTAGACTTGCTTAGCAGTATGCTATGGAAAGATTACCCATCATCTCATCTCTTGTACTGCTGCTCCAGGTTACCTGCTTACCTTTCTGTTTAGACTTCTTTGCCTACCATTGACCTGTTTGACTTTTGAGACCATTTTGAATACATTTCTGAATAGCAAGTTATTATTTGATGTTTCATAAAATAATACTGACCCTATCATAAACAGTGAAATGCTTTTTTTATATAGTTATTTTCTATAATATTGTGCTTTGTTTTGTGTTATTAATCAATAGGATACAAATAGTTGGATTTTTGGCTGCATAAACAGCACTTCTATGTGGTAAGTGTTTTAAATATAAGGCCTTTAGTTGTTCATTTTCTCAACATAAGATATACTCAAATTACACTTTCAGAGTTGCTTCAAATATACTTACTGTCATTTTGCTACCGTACTAAATTATAATATTGATTTTAAAATTAAAAATAAATAAAATTAACATACTAGTAATTTTTGCAAACATTGGTAATTGATTGCTAGGAAAAACCACTTTCTGTGCCCAAAAGGACTATGTGGATAAAGCGTATTGTGTTAGACTTACCAGACTTGACTTCATTAGAAGTGTTTCTGATAGGTCCATAGATGGTTTCATGTTGTTCTGATGCTTATTAATAATTTATAATACTTTAATATATTTGTCCTTTAATTATATTTTCATATGTATTTCCAAGCCGGCAAGGGGTTGATTTATCATGGAAAGCTGAACTGCTGCCAACAATTAAGGTAAATTATGGCTTTAGAATGTTAATATCCAGGTGAAAAAAATATTTGAACATATAGGAATATACAGTATGTTATTTGATTAACTTCATCTAGGTAATAAATAAATTTTGAAATTTGCTAATGTACATTTTAGAAATATTTTCTCTGGAAATACACTTAATAGAGAATAGCATGTGTTTTTTTTTTTAGCTTTCATAGATGAAAACAGGTCATCAGTCCTAAATAAAATTAAATATATATGTTATAGCATCATGATAAAAGATAGATAAATTTTAAGATTTAATTTGAGAGTTTGTTTAGAATGGTCTGTCTTAAAATACTGAATTGAGCATTCTCAGAATTTGTTTGGGGAAGTAAGCATCACAAAAAGACACAGAACAGATTTCAATTTCAATATTATCTGTGGCTAAAGCCTTCAGTAACTATCTACTTTTATCTAAGGTTCCATAGAATTTATTTAATAATTGCTAGTGATTTCCTTAAGCAGTTGTGGCAGGTCAGCAGTCTTTACAAAAGGTTAATTTGCATACTCAACAAAATCTGTTTTTGAAAAATAGAACAATTCTAAAATTTGATATTAGAAAATGTCTGTTCTAATTTCCACATTGTATTTATTACACTGGTAATCATGTGCTAGAATTGGTAGCTTTTAGTCTTCAAATAAATATATACTTTAAAATATATTGTCCAAAAAATTGTCATAATGAATACTATATTCATACAGTTGGATGTGCAGTCCTCTGGTTGGTCCTGGTCATCTCCCAGCTCCAGTTATTTGTCCTCATGAATGTTTGTTTATCTGTATGTATAATCAAGTCTGTACTACACCAAGGAGAGGAATGATGACAGAATGAATAATTGCAAGTCACTTACACTTGACTTTGGAATGCTTGCAGTGATTTTTTTTCTGTCGCTTTGGTCAGTCTTACTTGGTGCATATTTATTCATGTGGCTTTGTTTTGATATGGCAAATAACTGATTTCACTCCCAAGAACATTTTTAAGGTCTCTCACTAGTTCTATCCTAACTGTCTACGCTGGGTCAAAACAAAAACAAAAGTAATAGGATGTACTTACTGACAAGTCATTGATAAGGTGTATTAAATATTTCCTTGAATTTTCAGTTTGGATATCCTCTTCACTCTGTAATTTAAGAGCTGTGTGTGCTAAGTCACTTTAGTCGTGTCTGACTCCTTGCAACCCTATGGACTGTGGCCCGCCAGGCTCCTCTCTCCATGGGATGTTCCAGGCACGGATACTGGAGTGGGTTGCCATTCCCTTCTCCAGGGGATCTTCCCAACCCAGGGATTGAACCCACATCTCCTTTGGCTTCTGCATTGCAGATGGATTCTTTACCACTGAGCTACCATGGAAACCCAATTTAAGAGTTAGAAAGAAAGAAATGATTAAAAATCTGATAAAATGTTATTTTGTTACTATTTTTAAAAAGTTAACTCTTACACCATAATATTTTAATATTATTTTTTAGTCTCAAAGATTAAACAATGTATTGATCTAGTTTTAGTCCCCTGTGTTATTTTTTTCTAAGTGTAAGAAACAGCTGGCCGAGCAGTAGGAGAACAAGTTCTTCCCTCTGCTTACTTTTTATAGTGGATGCTGTGAGAAAGTGCTGGGCAGCATTAAAAGCCTGCTGGATTTGAGGAGAAAAGAGAGAAGTTAGAAAGGAAGGATTATAATCTTCTGCTGTCTTAGTTATTCTCAATTGAAGATGATTGTAATTATTAGATGCAAATAAACTTTTCCATTATAATGAAAGTCAAAATTACATATATACATTTGTGTGTGTTAGCCATTTATAAAAAGCACACAAAGTTACTTTGGCGTGAAGTTGAAAGGAAAGATTGAAGTAAAAAAATTTTGTGAGTTCTATTCTTATTTATGTCTTCTCAACAAGGGTAATGTCACATGAGAATCACACCATTTTGAGCACCTCTGCTGACTGAATTGTTAATAAATAGATGGAATCGTCTAGCAAAGCAGTTTAGGGCCTTCAGAGCACCAATCATATGGAGCTTTTCTGTCATGGTACAGTGAAGAAGTTTCTAAAAACACACAAACCACAGCACGCCGACAATTTCATGAGCCCAAATGGACTTATTGCTAAAAACAAAACAATTACCTTTGGAAATTAATCTAAGTTGTATGAGAAGAGTTACCTTGTCACTCTTTTGCCTAAATTAAACACAGCACCACAGCTTTGCCTCACACACAGCAGCAGAAATTGAAGGGTTTCTGACGTCCGAACACTGTTCTTTTTTTTGTGTGTGTGTTGCCTTAGCATTAAGGTAATTTTTATTTTTAAAACACTGAAAAATTTTCAAACTTTGCATTAACCTTACGTTTCAATGTAGCAATTTCATAAATCATATCTTGCCAAATTCCTGCTGATTTTATAACTATATAGGAGCTTAACTTTATGAGTAAATGTACATATCTTTTTAAAGTATTCTGATCTGAAAAATTGAAAGATTGAAGGCAGGAGGAGAAAGGGACGACAGGATGAGATGGTTGGATGGCATCACAGGCTCAGTGGACAGGAGTTTGAGTAAACTCTGGGAGTTGGTGATGGACAGGGAGGCCTAGCGTGCTGCAGTCCATGGGGTCACAAAGAATCAGACACGACTGAGTGACTGAACTGACTGCCCTGAAAAAAAAAAATTCTTGAGAAAAAAAATTTTTCTTGAGAGTAACAAAAGCTCTCAGAGTGGATAGCTACACAGGTAGCCATGGTTCTTCTAATTAAGTTACCTTTCATGTTGTCTACCACTTACCTGGTTGGTCTCAGTTGCCTGGAGCTTTGGCTTGTGTGGTCCTTCTGTGTGTGCACGTGCTCTGGCTTCCCAGGTGGCACAGTGGTAAAGAATCTGCCTGCCAATGCAGGAGGCTGGGTTTGATCCCTGGGTCGGAAGATCCCCTGGAGTAGGAAATGGCAACCCTCTCTAGTATTCTTGCCTGGAAACTTCCATGGACAGAGGAGTCTGGTGGGCTATAGTCCACGGGGTTGCAGAGAGTCGGACATGACCAAGCGCACAGGCACGCATGTGTGTGTGTTCAGTTGCTAAGTCGTGTCTGGCTCTGAGATTGTAGCTTGCCTGGCTCCTCTGCCCATGGAATTTTCCAGGCAAGAATACTGGAGTGGGTTGCCATTTCCTACTCTCTGAGAATCTTCCTGACCCAGGGATTTAACTGCATCTCCTGCATCTGACAGACAAATTCTTTACCACTGCGCCATCTGGGAATCCCCTGTCACCTTTTAATTTACATTAGAATATGTAAGTTGGCTATAGAGACTTTTCTTAATCAGTTGAGATGCAGCCCAGGAGTTTATTTTTTATTTTATTTTTTTAGTGGAGTGCAGTTTATTACACCAGCGGGCCCAAGGCAGAGTCTCCTCTTAGCCAAGGACCCCGACCAGCATTTGTGAAAATCTTTTATAGCCCATGTGTCTGTGTCCAAACCCACCACCCCAAATCCCTTGAGGCTTCCAAAGGAAGGGTAAATACAATCACAATAACCCCATCATTCTCGTGTTATGTGTTCAAACAGTTAATAATCAATAAGCCGGTGGTTACATTCCAACCACTTAACAACCGATAAGCCTGTGGTTACATTCCAATAGACACTGTCCGGAGGCAGGGATGATTAGTGTCTTTTCTCTTAGGTGATGAGTAACCTGGATACGATCTTCAAGGTTCCCCTGTCTGGAGGGGGTCGTCTCCTTCCATTGTCATTCCCACAGGCACTAAGCAGAGAGTTCAGAGTCCACTGGAGAGGCGGCCAAGCACGATCAGCACGGACAGGCCTCAGATGGAGTCCAGGCCCTATGAATTCCTTTTTCATTCCCCCCTCTTGAACCTTAATCAGTTGAGATGCAGCCCAGGAGTTTATTTTTTATTTTATTTTTTTAGTGGAGTGCAGTTTATTACACCGGCGGGCCCAAGGCAGAGTCTCCTCTTAGCCAAGGACCCCGACCAGCATTTGTGAAAATCTTTTATACCCCATATGTCTGTGTCCAAACCCACCACCCCAAATCCCTTGAGGCTTCCAAAGGAAGGGTAAATACAATCACCCCATCATTCACGTGTTATGTGTTCAAACAGTTAATAATAAGCCCGTGGTTACATTCCAACCACTTAACAACCGATAAGCCTGTGGTTACATTCCAATAGATACTGTGCGGAGGCAGGGATGATTAGTGTCTGTTTTCTCTTAGGTGATGAGTAACCTGGATATGATCTTCAAGGTTCCCCTGACTGGAGGGGGTCGTCTCCTTCCATTGTCGTTTCCACAGGCACTAAGCAGAGAGTTCAGAGTCCACTGGAGAGGCGGCCAAGCACGATCAGCACGGACAGGCCTCAGATGGAGTCCAAGCCCTATGAATTCCTTTTTCATTCCCCCCTTTTGATGCTCTTAACTCATATTATGAGCATTATTCATAGGGATATATTGCACCCTGGCTCTCCAACAGCCCAGGAGTTTAATAAGCACTCCCAGGTGAATCTGGTCTGGTTGTTTGAGGACCACTGGTGATAGTGTGCTTCAGGTTCTCAGTCCAGATTGCCCACATGGGTGCTTCTGAAGAACAGTGGAGAATGTTAAGTGCAGAAATTTCTTAATGCATAAGATTGTTGCAACATATAACTTACTCCCATTTCCCACATCTATTGTCAGAAAAAAAAAAAAAACTTGAAAACTATATTTGGTGGCCTAGCTTTTCATTAACTAGACCAGTCTCCTATTTAGTCATTCCTCAAAATATGGACTGTAAGATAAGGCCTTAGCTTTGAGAAGGGAAGAGATGCTCATTGGGTGAGGTGTGTTGTGAGACTTGCATAGTTCATTCGTGTCACTTACTGAGCAAGGTACAAGGAATGATGTTCATACATCATTAGCCAGCAAATGTTTATTACGTGGGCTAGATCAGAATCATTTCAGATTAAGTTGCAATTGTTTTGTCATACTGAGCATCCATTCAATTATTGAGTGTTCTTTGTCATATATCACCAAAATCAATGTAGAAATCATACTGTAATATTCAAAGCAAGTAGACAAATTATAAGAGACCATATCTGGAAATAATTTTGTAAAATAATTAAATTTAGTGTTACATTTCATTTGTTTTACTTGAAGTAATATAGTTCAGGGAATATTTGGCAGTCCATATTAACTTAATTTTTAGAAATTTGACATTCAGCAGGTTCATTGACCTGAAAATGTAAACATGGGCACTTTATGAAGTACTGAACATAAAGTTTGAAGTCAGTTTTTTGGTAACTTACTAAGTAAGAAATGGGTTTGTAATTTATTTTTTAACATGCTTTAAGCTCTGTATATCCTAAATAAAATCAGATTTTTTTTTCATCTTTTTTTAGTCTCTGACGTTAAGACTTCAAGACTATCCATCTTTGTCTCATCTTGTTGTTTATGTACCATCTATTCATGGAAGTAAGGTAACAAGCAAGAATCTGTTATCAGAATGTTTCTGGGATACTTATGCTAAATATTTAAGTCATTTTTTGATACATTCTTCAGCATAGCACTTATCTAAAACATCTAAAATAGTGGCTGAATTGGTGATCCACTTAAGACTGTTTAAGTCACTGGGATCAACTACTCTGACTTGAACTAAGCAGAATAAATCCAAGTCTTTTTGTTTCAAGTGGGAATTATTTCTACTTTATCAGTCTTTCAAAATATGTTAGTTATTGAGTACCCTTTTATGTGCAAAAACTGTGTGCCAGCAATCATAGGAGGCACACAAAAGAGGAGGACATGAACCCTGTTCTCAGAAAGCTTGCATACTGTTGGTAGAGGGATAGAAATATATTTGATAGCCAGGGGTAGGGGAAAATGAAAGAGGTACCCAAAAATGTATAATACAAATCAGAATATTGCAAATCCTTGAAAAGCGTTAAGGGGGAGATATCTCTGACTGATGAAATCACAAAAGACATTAGTTTCAGGTGATATTTAAAATTACCTTAAAGGATAGTTAGTGTTTTTATAGATTGAGTATTCCAGACCTGGGCTATCTGCTTTGGGAGCCATTAGCACATGTGACTATTTAAATTAATTAAACTTAAAGTAAAAATTCAGATCCTTAGTTGTACTAGCCATATTCCAGATGCTCAATAGTAACACTATTGCAGAAAGTTATAATGAACAACATCTTTGAGACATAAATAGTAAAATCAGAGCATGGAAGGTGTAGGGTATGTTTGGAAAATAGTGAATAAGTAAATAGTTTTAAAAGGATAGCTACCATGGATAGAAGAAAAGTAGCAGAAGAAAAGTCTGGAAAAGTAGTTAATGACCATATTGTGAATGTCCTTCATTGGAAGATTCAGAAGCCAAAAGGGAACCAAAAGATTTTTCACCGTGGTAGTAATGGGATCAGGGCCATTTGTTTTGGACAGTGAATCTATTTATGGTATAGGATGGATTAGAAGCAAGACAGACCAGGCACATGTTAAGGGGTTTTGCAGGCTTGTAGTCATGCAGTGGGAGTAGAAATAAAAGGATGGTAATTTTTGAGAGAAGTAGGCAGGGACATTTTACCCAGCAAACTCATCCTTCAACATCTAACCTAAGTGGGCCCTGTTTTCCTTTTATTGGAGTAAAATATTACTCCAACTCCAATAACCTCTTACTTAGTCCCATATTTTGTTTATAAGTTCTTTGAGGAATATTTTACACTGAATTATAATTTATGTCTTTATTGCCAAACCACAGTATGAACTTATTGAGAGTAAGGACTAAATGGGTTTTACTCTGCATCCTAAACCTTTAGTGAAGTGAAATCTCTAGTGACCACCAGATATACATTCAAATGTTTCTTGAATAAAAAAGTTAATGAGATTTGGGGCCAAAATCACTGGAAATATTTAAAGTAAAAAAGAAAAGGGGATGTAGTTAGGAGTCATCTCAAAGACTGAGTCTCAGGAGTACCTTGTAATGGATTCATTGTTTTGTTTTGCTTAGCTCAAGTGAGAGGTAATTCAACATCTTCAGTACTAAAAGCTCTCTTTAAGGGTTTTTCTTTAAGGTAAGTTGGTTTTGAATGAATTTAACATCTTCCCAAACAAGGCCTTCTCTGATTATTCCAAGAAATTAATGAGCCTTTCTCAAATAGCCAGTCTTAGCAGCCTAATAAATACTTAGTGAACACTCTTTGGAAAGTAACACTGCTGACTCTAATTGTTGCACACCCAGTCTCACAAGGATGGTAACTTAGGTCTTTCATGATTTCTATGGTTTGTTACAACCCATCGCCAGAAGGATACATGTATTTAAATAGGCAGTTTAAAAAGTTTTTGAGTCAACTGATTGTCTTAATATAGTTTTCCAAATGTAAATATGGAATTAGCTGCATTTTTTAATGACAGAAAACAAAATTAAGTCATTTAGAAATTTACTTATCTGTATATTTCAGAGACAGACTCATGAATTCTTTCTTGGATAAAGGTTTATTCCGTAAAGAAATGGCCAAATTTTTAAAGTAATAATAAAATTTGTATTATTTTAATTACCTGTTAAAGTGATTAAAAATTTCTTCCTATCTTAGGCAGTGTCTCGGCTAAAGATACCTATAAAAATATAATGAATAATTGTGCTCAATAAATGATTTCTCTAATCTTATAACGGCTGTTTTTTATAATGGAAATATCTGATAGTATTCTTTGCCTTCTAATTAAAGAGGGGAAAATAAAAGCAGAGCCCCTTAGTAAATTTTTTTTTGTTTGTTTCCCTATGTGTGTGCATTCTGATAGCATCTTCCCTCATCTGTTTTTCATTTTCAAAAAAATTCCACCCAAACAAAATAAAACAGCTTAAAATAGAGTCAAAGGTGCAGTTACTGGAAAAGCCTAAGGTAGACCCCACTGGCTTTTTACTTAACAGTGCATTGCAAACTACTTGCTAGCTACAGTTAGGCATCAGATTAATTTCTTCCTCAGCTCATATAGATTAGAGTCATTTAGTTGGATTGTTGGATTGAAACAATTTTAATGAAACTGTTCTATTAGATAGCTGAGAATGAAGACCTTACGCCACTGTGGAAATGTTATTAGATGAGAAATGTCATTATGGAAATTGCACTGATGGGGATGTCACATTTTAGGTTTACTTTTTTTTTGTGATAGCATTTTTTTCTTTGTACGCAGTGAACCTCTTTTCCATTTACTATAATCACTGTTTAGCCTCATGTAAGATTAGAAGTAATCTTACATGAATAGCATGAAGCATCTGTAAATGAATGGCAGTATGTCTCCAAAAGCCTTTTGTAGTCTAATTAGAGTGTAGAAACATAATTAATGACAGAAAACAAAATTAAGTCATTTAGAAATTTACTTATCTGTATATTTCAGAGACAGACTCATGAATTCTTTCTTGGATAAAGGTTTATTCCGTAAAGAAATGGCCAAATTTTTAAAGTAATAATAAAATTTGTATTATTTTGATTACCTGTTAAAGTGATTAAAAATTTCTTCCTATCTTAGGCAGTGTCTCAGCTAAAGACACCTATAAAAATATAATGAATAATTGTGCTCAATAAATGATTTCTCTAATCTTATAACAGCTGTTTTTTATAATGGAAATATCTGATAGTATTCTTTGCCTTCTAATTAAAGAGGGGAAAATAAAAGCAGAGCCCCTTAGTAAATTTTTTTTCTTTTGTTTCCCTATGTGTGTGCATTCTGATAGCATCTTCCCTCATCTGTTTTTCATTTTCAAAAACAATCAAAATTCCACCCAAACAAAATAAAACAGCTTAAAATACAGTCGAAGGTGCAGTTACTGGAAAAGCCTAAGGTAGACCCCACTGACTTTTTACTTAACAGTGCATTGCAAACTACTTGCTAGCTACAGTTAGGCATCAGATTAATTTCTTCCTCAGCTCATATAGATTAGTGTCATTTAGTTGGATTGTTGGATTGAAACAATTTTAATGAAACTGTTCTATTAGATAGCTGAAAATGAAGATCCTTACGCCACTGTGGAAATGTTATTAGACGAGAAATGTCATTATGGAAATTGCACTGATGGGGATGTCACATTTTAGGTTTACTTTTTTTTTGCGATAGCATTTTTTTCTTTGTACGCAGTGAACCTCTTTTCCATTTACTATAATCACTGTTTAGCCTCATGTAAGATTAGAAGTAATCTTACATGAATAGCATGAAGCATCTGTAAATGAATGGCAGTATGTCTCCAAAAGCCTTTTGTAGTCTAATTAGAGTATAGAAACATAATAAATATGGAAAAATTTAAAAGATGGAACAAGATCACATTTTATTTTGACTGAAAGTATTCAGGGATATATTATCTAAATTCCTAATTAATCTTGAATTAACTTTTGCTCTTAATGTTTTTATCTATCCTTTATGGTCTCTCTTCTACAAACACCTAAAACCAGCTACAAGAAAACTGTGCTGTACATCTGCTCTTATAGATATGACCCTCTAATAATTTATTAAGTTAAGATTTTTCACCAATTTTTTTTAGTTTAGCATCTCTCCTTGAGGAATTCATGCCCCTTTAACATAGCTGGAGAGTTGGACTGTAATAGACAATAGAATGCCTTCTTCAAAACTGAATTTTATAGATGTTTATTTTCTACTCAAATATCAAGTGAAGATATTTTACTATACATTTAATTCTATTTTTTCCTAATAAATCAATGTTTTATATTCCAGTTTGTTGTAGATTGTGAATTCTTTAAAAAAGAGACAAGATCCATACAGCTTCCTGTAACTCATCTTTTTTCCTTTGGTAAGTACTTTGATTTTGGAAAATTTTTTTTTTCTTTCAGTTTTTGGCTTCACTGGCTCTTCATTGCTGCATGGGATTTTCTTTAGATGCAATGTATGGGCTTCCCATTGTGGTGGCTTCTTTGTTGTGGAGTATGTGCTCTGGCTGTGTGGTCTTCAATAGTTGTGGCTCATGGGCTCTAGAGCATAGACCCAATAGTTGTAGTACATGGGCTTAGTTGCTCTGAGCCAGGTAGGATCTTCCTGGATCGGGATCAAACTTGTGGTTCCTACCTTGGCAGAGAGATTCTTTACCACTGAGCCAACAGGGGAGCTGGATTTTGGAAACCTTAAGAATTGCTTTTCTTTTTGGTAGGGTGTTGATTTATTTTGCCAGTTAGTTGTAATAATGCAGAGCCTTGTAACATTTTTTGTGTATATTTCTAGTATAGTTCTTAGAATAACCATGTGATGTGACTCAGTGGTTTGATTCTTGTTTAGATCTTCTGCCTATCTTTTGATTTTTTTTTTTTAATTGAGCTACAGAGCTGTTTGTATATTTTTGAGGTTAATCCCTTGTTAGTTGCTTTGCTGGCAGATGTTTTTACCCCCTTCTGAGGGTTATCTTTTCATTTTTTTATGGCTTCCTTTGCTGTGCAAGAGCTTTTATGTTTAATTAGGTCCCATTTGTTTATTTTTGTTCTTATTCTCATTACTCTAGGAGGTAGATTAAAAATCCTGCTGCAGTTTATATCAAAGAGTGTTCTGCCTATGGTTTTCTCTATGAGTTTTATAGTGTCTAGCCTTACTTTTAGGTCTTTAATCCAGTTTGAGATTTTTTTTGCATATGACGTTAGGGAATGTTCTGATTTCATTCTTTTACATGTGTTGATATCTGGCCAATTTTTCCAGAATAACTTATTGAAGAGATTGTCTTTTCTCCACTGAATAATCTTGCCTCCTTTTTCATAGATTAAGTGACTATCAGTGTGTGAGTTTATCTCTGGACTTTCTGTCATGTTCCATTGATCTATTTTTCTGTTTTTGTGTCAGAACCATAATGTTTTGATTACTGTAGCTATGTAGTATAGTCTGAGGTCAGGAAGCCTGATTCCTCCAGCTCCCCTTTTCTTTCTCAAGATTGCTTTGGCTATTTGTGGTCATCTGTGTTTCTACATATATTATAAAATTTTTTGTTCTATTTCTGAGTGAAATACCATTTGTAATTGATAGGGATTGCATTGAATCTGTAGATTGCTTTGAGTAGGATAGTCATTTTCACAGTATTGATTGTTTTGATCCAAGAACATGCTGTATCTCTCCATCTGTATGTGTTGTCTTTGATTATTTTCACTGGTATCTGGTAGTTTTCTGAGTACAGGTCTTTACGTTCTGTAGATAGGTTTATTCCTAAGTATTATATTCTTTTTGTTGTGATGGTAAATAGGATCTTAGAAGAAATGCTTTCAGTTCTTCATATTTACTGTGGGTTTGTCATACATGGCCTTTATTGGACTGAGGTATGTTCCCTCTATGTCCACTTTCTGGAGAGTTTTTACCATAAATGGATTTTGAATTTCATCAAAAGCTTTTTCTGTATCTGTTGAGATTATCTTATGGTTTTTATTCTTCAGTTTGTTAGCATGGTGTGCCACATTGATTAATTAGTGTATATTGAATTGATCCATTTTGTTGTTATTTAGTAGCATATTATTTAGCCTCCATGTGTTTGTATTTCTTTTTTATAGTTGTTTTTTTCCTGTATTCTAATATCATAGCATTGTGGTCAGAAAAGATACTTGATATGATTTCAGTTTTCTTAAATTTACTGAGGCTTGATTTGTGACCAAGATATGATCCATCCTGGAGAGTGTCCCATGTGCACTTGAGAAGAAAGGGTATTCTGTTACTTTTGGATGAAACGTTTACACATCAACTAAGTCTATCTGGTCTAACGTGTCATTTAATGCTTGTGTTTCCTTGTAATTTTCTGTCTGTCCATTGGTGGTGGTATTCATCAGTTGCTCATTTGTGTCCAACTCTTTACAATCCCATGGACTGCAGCACTCCAGGCTTCCCTTGTCCTTCACCATCTCCTGGAGCTTGCTCAAGCTCATGTCCATTGAGTTGGTGATGCCATCCAACCATCTCATCTTCTGTTGTCCCCTTCTCCTGCCTTCAATCTTTCCCAGCATCAGGGTCTTTTCTGAGGAGTCAGTTCTTCATATCAGGTGGCCAAAGTATTAAGAGTTTCAGCTTCAGCATCAGTCCCTCCAATGAATATTCAAGATTGAGTTCCTTTAGGATGGACTGGTTGGATCTCCTTGCAGTCCAAGGGACTCTCAAGAGTCTTCTCCAACACCACAGTTCAAAAGTCCATTGGTATAAGTGGGTGTTAAAGACCCCCCACTATTATTGTGCTACTGTCGATTTCCTCTTTTACGGCTGTTAGCATTTGCCTTATGTAGTGAGATGCTCCTATGTTGAGTGGATAAATATTTACAATTGTTATATCTTCTTCTTGGATTGATCCCGCTATCATTATGTAGTATCCTTCCTTGTCTCTTGTAACAGTCTTTGTCTGTGTTGGGTCTGTCAACATTTTAATAATAAAGATGTTCTTTCTAAAATCTTTAGGGTGTGAGTCAGACTAAAAATGTTTTTTAAGTTAAGTACAATGCTTAGCTTCTGATTTCCTTTTTTGCCATAGTGGAAAGCAAAATTTTAAATTATTTCTTACCTCTTGTTAGAATTTGTCAAACATGCAAAAGATAGTCCATCTTTCTTGTGAAGAAGGTTAGCACAATGAATGGTATTTCAAACTAGAGTAAGTAAAGGGTGAAGGACACTTTATATCTAATAGTTTTTCTCCTGTTGATCATTTTGAGTTGCCTTAAATTCAGTGCTGTGTTTTAAAATAGTGGTTACAAGAGATACTCATTAAAATGGTTTGTAGTTGAATGTCTAAGCAGTGTGTCCTAAAAGTGATTTATTAATCACAAATTGATGGTACACCTTCTATTTAAGAAATTTGTTTACATGTTGATCACATTTCTTACATCTGTTTTCTTAAATTCAATTTTTGATCCTGTAAAATAGTTAGGAGAATGCAACATTATGAAAAACCTGGTTATGTGTTTTAGCTGGTGCTAAATATGCCTGACAGAATCTTAACATTATATAGTATTTATTTTTTAATTATTAGAATTTTAGTGATATACTTGGTAATTATTTCAAGCGTTTTCTGTCTGTTGCACAGTGGTGGTTTGTCCTATTGTTTTCTCTTTACAAAGAAGCATCTGAACACTTGTATTTGTATATTCTTATCCAAAGGCATTCACATCTAAGTGGGTATAATTTTATAAATTGATTAAGAAGTTTTTTTAAAAAAGAGAAAGTAGCTACCAAGAAAGCATACCTTTTTGAAATTGGAAATATGTAGTGGTTTTTTAAAACAGATAAATGTTATTGAAAGTCCTTAAAGAAACTAAAAACAGAGCTACCATATGACCCAGCAGTCTCACTCCTGAACACATACCCTGTTGTTCAGCCACAGAGTTGTGTCTGACTCTTTGCAACCCCAGGGACTGCAGCACGCCAGGCCTTGCTGCCCCTCACCATCTCCTGGAGTTTGCCCAAGTTCGTGTCCATTGCATTGGTGATACCACCGAGACAGCGAATCTTCTGACACCTTCTTCTTCTGCCCTCAGTCTTCCCCAGCATCAGGGGCTTTGCCAGTGAATTGGCTGTTCATATCAGGTGACCAAAATACTAGAGCTTCAGCTTCAGCATCAGTCCTTCCAGTGAGTATTCAGGGTTTATTTCCTTTAAGATTGACTGGTTTGATCTCCATGCTGTCCAGGGGGTTCTCAGGAGTCTTCTCCAGCACCACAGTTTGAAGGTATCAATTCTTTGGCACACTGCCTTCTTCATGGTCCAGCTCTTATAACTGTATGTAACCCCTGGGAAGACCATAGACTTGACTATATGAGCCTTTATCGGCAGAGTGAAGTCTCTGCTTTTCAACACATGTCTAGGTTTGTAATGGCTTTCCTGTCAAGAAGCAGTCATCTTCTGATCTCATGGCTGCTATAACCATCTGCAGTGATTTTAGAGCCCAAGAAGAGGAAATCTGTCCCTGCTTCCACCTTTTCTACTTCTATTTGCCATGAAGCAATGGGGCCAGATGCCATGATCTTAGTTTTTTCAATGTTTAGTTTTGAGCTGACTTTTTTCACTCTCCTTCACACTCATCAAGAGGCTCTTTAGCTCCTCTTTGCTTTCTGCCATTTGAGTTGTATTATATTTATATCTGAGGATGTTGATGTTTCTTCCACTTATCTTGATTCCAGCTTGTAACTTATCCAGCCTGGCATTTCTCATGTTGTGCTCAGCATATAGATTAAATAAACAAGATGACAACAGACAGCCCTGTCGTATTCCTTCCTCGATCTTGAACCAATCAGTTGTTCCATGCAGGGTTCTAACTGTTTCATCTTGACCCACATACAGGTTTCTCAGGAGACAGGTAAGATGGTCTGGTATTCCCATCTCTTTAAGGGCTTTCCTCAGTTTGTTATGATCCACACAGTCAAAGGCTTTGGCATAGTTGATGAAATGGAGGTGGATGTTTTTCTGGAACTCACTTGCTTTCTCTGTGATCCAGTGAATGTTGGCAATTTGATTTCTGGTTCCTCTACCTTTTCTAAACCCAGTTTGGACATCTGAAAGTTCTTAGTTCATGTAATGCTGAAGAGTAGTATGCAAGATTTTAAGCATGACCTTGTTACCGTGGGAGATATACCCTGAGAAAACCATAATTCAGAGAGGCACATGTACCGCAGTGATCACTGCAGCACTGTTTACAGTAGCCAGGACATGGGAGCAGCCCAAACGCCCATCGACGGATAAATGGACAAAAAGTCTACAAACGGTAAATGCTGGAGAAGGTGTGGAGGAAAGGAAACCTTGCCCTGTTGGTGGGAATGGAAGACAGTATGGAGATTCCTTAAAAACTAGGAA